TCCAGGGGTCGTTTACTAATTCAATTTCCTTGTACAGGGATGTATGTGACGTGACATCACATCACATAATTTGGAACCTCCGAAACTTTTACTCAAAGTATTATGCAACGCAAAGAGGTATAAAATTCTATTAGAAGTCAGTTTACCTTTCTACAGGTGCCAAGGGCCATAGTCGTCCTCCATGTCGCTTATGGACCAGTTGCTGCTACTTAATCGATGGTCGCAGGTATGGTCATCGTCGTATGATGCATGGCTGATGCCTGGTAGCACTTGCTCGTCCACCGCCACGTCTTCTTCATCGGCAGCATCCTGGAGACCTAGTTAGTCCCACAACTCGGTGAGTCGTCGTTTCGATGCTGCAATACACACATGGATTGTTGTAGACGTGAAGCCTTCAAATACAGTCTTCAACCGCTCCAGTACCTCACGGAACGAAGTATTTACGTTGTATTGACGACCAACCTCACATATCATTATTGCCCAAATCAATTCAATAGGCTGCAAGCCCGAAGGATTCGGAGGCGTGTACACAACAGAATGCTCTCGCGACTCGGCCATGACCACCACAACAGGTACGATGTTGCTCTCGATGTGCGTGGCAAGTTTTTCCCATAGGGCAATTTTTTTCGTCCGAGTTGTAGTGGATACCATAGCGGTCGCAACTATCGGGCAGACGTGACTTGGCCCAGACATACTTTAGATGCCGTCGGGTAGGCATTTATGGTATTTTGCGTTGGCCATAACGATAACGACGTTCTTTTTCAACATGGCTTCCAATTGGCCGAGCAACGTGCCAAACCAGTCAACGAAATATGCATGGTTGAATATGACATGGTAGTCCTTGGGCTCTTTGCGTCGTATTTTCCCCCCTTGGAAAATGCCGAGGGCAAGTAGTTTTGAGTTGTCCACTCCATCGTCTGGTATCGCTCCAAAAAACCAATATCGTTGTTCCTTGTATTTGCATGACTTGCAGGTCTTGTTCGTCATTTGGATCGTATAAACTGTCTTGATGACGAACGCAGTGGTGGTGGTGTACATAAGACTCGTCTAGGTACACAACAGGCGGTGAATTTTTGCAAAAATGATTCACACCATATTCGCAATGTATTTATCGCGGAACATTGCACATTGTTTCGCCAACGCAAACGTCAGTTGACATTTTATTTTTCCCCATTCGAAACCGACACGAACCAAGAATCGGCGCACAGTACGACATGCTGACACCATTGCGCGGGTATTGTCGGGGCGACATCGACATGTTGTCACTTTGTAGTAATACTAACACATCTTTTGCAAATATCCGCGTCCATGTCAAACGGGGTCCCGAACAAAGGACTGGACGAGCGAGAACGCTTTTCTTGTCGTAGGAATGCAAGTTGTATGAGAATGTTTGTTGGAAGGCAACAGCGACGGCTGCTGTAGCGTTATATGTGCGCCATTATACTCTCATAACATTTGTGCTCCGGCCGAGAATACGTGCATTATGACCAGATGCATCCTCCATGCCCTCATGTCGAAAGTGAGCGTCAAGACGAAAAATGTCGAGACGTTCTTCTATAGTTAGGCTAGGTGGGCGACTCTGCTTGACGAACCCACAGATCTTGTCGAACTCGGCCGTTGCAATCGTTGGTTGCGGTCGGACCATATTGTGGCATTATAACATTGACAAGATGACAGGGATGGTACATAAACATGTGAACTCAAACAAATTGATAATTTTGTGACATCGTTTTTCATGACAAGATACACTGGATGGATATCAGCACAAAGGAGTCAAATTGACAATCATTCACAACTTTGAAGTAGAATGTTTAAAGGGTATTACGTTTAGGAAGAGATCGATAGTATAGTTCATCTCAGCTCAACGAGCTGCATCGATTAATGTATCCCAAGACCACAAGAACTCGCTCCATCCTTGTGTACGAGTAAACGACCCCTGGTTGATGTCCATCACTACTAGGGTCACTTCAAGTGCTTTTGGTGGCATAAATGTGAAACAGAGTAAATATTTAATGTTATCTTGAAATCTCACTCTAAAAAATATTGACTACGATTTTGTGCAAGTACTAAAATTGTGTAGTCTCTCCTTCCAACTTGTTTCGTCCTCCTGCAATATCCGTTCGAGCCGATGTGGTTTCGGCGGGTCGGGCAAGCATGGGCATCCAGCACAAGGCGACAATTACACATCCACGGCGCGGAAGCAGCCACCGTGTTGATTATCCGTTCGATTGCCGACAAGGCTTCAGAGGGTCATGGCAAGCTAGCTGATAAGCAAGCACCCATCACCCGTCGTCAATTACAGGCCGAGGTGAGTGTTTTGGGTATTGTCAGGCAGATCTATTCCACGAAGCGTACCCGGAGCGTTTTCTGCTGGAGCTGGTAGCTGCGGGCGCTTCGTGTCGTCCATCATACCCTGTACACACATGGAGGGTGGCGGTCGTCCTCCCGTCCCGCCGGTAGGAACAAATTCGACAACCGATTGCAACCGGTTTCAGAAATTTAATGCATTCATGGAATTCCATATACGAACTTCAAGTGAAAGTTGAATAAAACCCAACATGCGACAGAGCTCGCGTTTTGTAAACTGCCCACGGCACCGTTGTTGATTGGTCGGTTTAGTATCCATCATTTCTTCATGGCACTCTAAAACTGGGAAAGTTGAACACACTCTGCCGACGATGCGACTTGGCGCCGCCATGTACGATATCACCGGTCCCGCCGCGGAGGCTGGCATGTTTGGGTACGCCCAATTCCACCAAGCCACCACGGGTATCCACATGCGTCTTCGGTCGCGGGCGTTTGTGTTTCATGATGACTGTGCGGTGGGAAACGACATGTCGATCTTTGCGTTTGTCAGTGTCGACACGGGCTGCATCTCCGAGTCCATCACGCAATCAGTGCTCGCGCGGCTCCAAGCGCATGAAGATGTGTTCCCGTCCTTAACGTTTCAGACACACAACGTCATGCTGAGTGCGACGCACACGCATTGTGCGCCGGGCGGTGTATCGGAATATCCACTCTACAGCATGCACCCGCCGTTGAAGGGATTTGACAAGCAGGTATGAACAACAGAAAACAAATCTGCTTCCTTCACGATTGCATTGATCTTGTTGAGGTAGAACTTTGAGTGCGTTGTGACGGGCATTGTGAAATCCATTGTTCGTGCCTTCCGCAATCTCCAGCCGGGCGTGATTCGCGTCGCACGGGGCGAGTGCCTTGGCGCATCCATCAATCGATCCGTTGAAGCATACAATGCCAACCCCCTCGACGAACGGCAGCAGTTTGCTCACAACACGGACAACGACATGACGTTGTGGAGGTTGGATGGAATCGACGAATATCCCATTGGCATGATCAATTGGTACGTGACCTCATGTCGTCTCGAGTCTTGAGCTGATTTCAATAGGTTTGCTGTCCACCCGACAAGTATGGGCAGTTGGTTCACACTCATCACAGGCGACAACAAGGTGCGTCGATCGACATTGTGTCCGGCGGCATGAACTGTTGCATATAGGGGTACGCATCGCATGAATTCGAGCGCGAGAAAGGGACGGTGCACTTGATGGACCGCCCGCGATGCTTTGTGGCGGCGTTTGCCCAGACGAACGAAGGCGACGTAAGTCCCAACATCTTTGGACCACGCAACCACGCGAACGAACACCTCGACCTCGAGCGGATGGAAATTGTAGCCGAAGCGCAGCTCGAGACAGCGCGGCGTCTGTACAACTTGGCTGAGACGTTGCCACCCGCGACAACTATGTCCATCCGGTGTGTCCACCAGTACGTCGATTACAACTCGATCGCGCTCGGGGCCAAGTGGCACGTACACAAGGAGTGTCCGCCGTCGACATCGTCGGGATGCATTGGGGTGTCGATGCTCAGCGGCACGCGGTTCGATGGACGAGGGGTCAGCATGATCCCAGAGGGATTGCAGTGGGGCGCCAAGTGCTGGTTTACGCTGATGCCGCAGACGCAGTCGATGCAAAAGGAAAAGCCCATTATATTCCCGACAGCGTCCACGGGCATATCGCCGTCCATCTTGCCACTGCAATTGGTTGTCCTTGGCGACAAACTCGTGCTGGCCGCGACTCCATTTGAAAAGACAACAATGGCTGGGCGGCGGCTTCGGCGCTCCATCGCCACTGCGCTCGAGTTGGACAGCCCAAACGATGTTGTGCTCGCGGGGCTTGCCAACGCATATTGCGGCTACATGACGACTCGCGAAGAGTACGCGATCCAACGGTACGAAGGGGCGTCGACGCATTTTGGCCCCAACCAGTTGGTCGCGACGCAGCAACAGTTTGACGAGTTGGCTGCGTGCCTCCGACTCGGCACTACGCCGCCGTCGCTACCTCCGCCACACAAATTCAGCACGTCCAACTGGCACACACCCGTGATCCACGACAGCGTGGGTGACTGGACATGGACTTTTGGCCAGGTTGTCGAAGATGTGCTTTTGACCAAAGAAGTATTTTCTCCAGGAGACATTGCCCAGGCTGTGTTTTGCGCCGGTCACCCGAAGAACGACCTGCGAACACAAAGCACCTTTCTTGAAATCCAACGGTGGCGGTTGTTCGACGGGTGTTGCGGAGGTGGCGTGTGGGTGTTGCATGCGGACGACAGCGATCCCCAGACGTTTTTCCACTGGAAGCGGAGCGGGCTGTCGGCGTCGTTGGTCACTATTGTGTGGCACATTCCACCCAAGACCCCTCCCGGACTCTACCGCATCAAGCACAATGGGCACTACAAGGAGCGCTGGAATGGCAACGTCGTCGTGCCGTACTGCGGCGTCTCGCGGGCATTCGAAGTTGTCAACGAAGATGAACTCGAGGCCACCTTGACCGATGCCATCCATGACCATCGCCCCCCCGAGCCGACGTTATCCACTGCAATCGAACACAAGGATGAGCTGATGGCCACGGCGACGAGGGAGCTCGTGTGGTCGCCGTCATCTAAGCTCAAAAAGCGCGCGACTGGACGATGGCCATCGGGCATGTGGAAAGAGGACGGCTAAACGAATGACATTTAACATACATTTATTCAGCAATTGTTGTCCATTCAGGCATCGTGGACTTCGACGATCGCTTCGATTTCCACGGGAACATTCAAAGGGAGGCCGTTGGTGCCGACGGCCGACCGAGCGCCGACGCCGTGGTCGCCAAAAACCTTGGCAAACGTGTCAGACGCCCCGTTGATGACGGTGGGTTGGGCAGCGAAGCCATCGACGGCGTTGACGAACCCCGTCAACTTGACGATTTGCTTGATCTTGTTCAAGTCGCCCAATTCGTTTTGCAAAGTCGCGAGGAGCGCAAGTGCGACAACGTGCGCAGCTTCGTACGCTTGTTCCGTCGTGAGATCGACGCCAACCTTGCCCGTGATCAACGCTCCGTTTGCCGGCGTTGGGATATGACCAGCCGTGTAGATCAAGTTGCCGACACGAGTGAGGAGCTTGTAGTTGCCCTTGGGGGGCGACACAGGCGGGAGGACGTAGCCAAGTTCGGCTAGGCGAGCACGGTAATCGGGCATCGTCAAGTCAAGAATGGGCATCGTCAAGTCAAGAATGGCCCTCGTCACCCCTCCAACACATGCAAAACATAATTTCAGTAATACTAACCGATTACTATAGGACTCACCAGAAGCGGGTGAGGATAGGTTGAATTGTAGCCAATCCAAATCGTTTATTCCGTGGTGTAAGTGAAGCTGATATTTAGCCAATCCGATTGCAGAATGGAAACGACTGGTGTGGAGGGAATGTGGCACCGAGACGTTCATTTGGAAAAAGGAGAGATGGCGGCGCATGAACGCTGAAGAAAGAGATCTATATGCTTAGATGGATAGCCTATGCCGTCGTCTGTGGACGATTGATGGAGATATCGCGCAATGAAGCATGCACGAGGAGAGGAATCGAGTGATTACCATGAAAGCGGGAGGTTTGCAGTCACACTGCCAACGATGATTTCCAAGAGATTTCTGCCTGACGATTCATCCTCTTCATTGTGGTAGTGTTGTAGCTGTATAGAAGAGTCTCCTTATCGAAGCGGCGCGATGGGTTTGCGCGCGTCATTCACTTTCTTGTAATCGACTTGACGCTCCGCGTTCAGCGTGTCGTGGTCGAGATCTTCGACCTACGCGCCAAGTCACCACTTGTCACGCATGCACGATGAATACATAAGCGAAGGGATGACCTCTCGCATCAAACTGTCGACTTTCCGCGTGCTCCCTTTGATAAATCGACGACTTTTGCCCTTGTCGACGCTGCCTCCCTTCACCCGCGGCGACGGTGGGACTCTTGGTGACACGAGCAACGGCAGAACATTTTTCCTGTCATGTGAAACAATATTATATCTTGGTGTAGCCTTGAATATCTAGTACCTTTCGATCACTGGCATGCGGAACCCAGCTCGGTAGACAAACTCCGGATCGCTTTCTCGCTCCCACAGCTCGTCATCCTGCCACCGAAGTGTGCATGAGCCGTGCGCCAAGTTGGGCTGTTATACCTCGTCGGGTTCTGGCAGTCCGAGAGTCGTGCGATTCACTTCTTTCTGAACATCTACGACACAATCGTTGGACGTGTGCATTGGGGAACGCATGTGATTTATACCTCCTGTGTTCGTATCGAACCGGACCGGCCGACTGCAAGCAATGCAACACACCATCCCTGGGATCGTGCCAACTGCAGTTGTGGGTTCTGTAGATGGTATGTGGTCTCGCATGGCTTCCATGGCCTTGGTCACACGGCGGCGAACGTTATCCCCGAGCTCGGCTTTGATGCGCTCAATGTCCTATTGAAGCACTTTGTTCGAACCAGCCGAAACGATCACTCCTAACGGAACCTTTTTCGTCAAGTCCTGCGTGAGGGCAAGCTTTGCCTCGATATTTTGGGCAAATGCTTCCAGAAGCAGTGTCGGGTTGTAGGCAGGGATAATGTTGCGGGGTTGCGAGCTCGACCGTTGCACTTGAAACTAGTCAGTGCGTGGACACACATGCAGACCGAAGTACCTTCAAGGGTCACAAACATCTCGGCGACTTTTTCTGTAATGCTTTCAAGCTTGGCGTTGAATACTTTGTCCGAATCGATGACCTCGGCCAGCGGCGGCGGCGCAACTGACTTTTTCTCGGACGCTTCTTCCTTCTCCTACCGATTTTACAAACAAATTATGTCCATTTGGATTTGGGAAGGACTTTTATGGCAGGTACCTTCTTGAGCTCTAGGCACAACGATGCAATCAACTCGGCCTGCACGTCTAACGTCGACTTGATTTCCGAATCGTCGTACACCTTGGCGATCGACGCCGTCGCTGCCCCGCCTTGGAATTTAGACGATCCCAACACCGCGTGAATCTTGGCGAGCTCGGCGAAGATTTGAAACTACATCAACATCGTGTTAGCATGACTCCACCAAATTTGCTCTGGGCATACTTTGAGCTTGGACAAGTGGCCCTCTGTCACGCGATCCGTCATGTCGCCGCGGTACGCGTGCACGTTTCGCGTCAGCACACGGAGGTCGTCTTCAAACCCGTCAAGACGACGGCAACATGTCAGCAGCAACTGCTCTAGCCGCTTAACTGCATCGCTGCCTTCACCAAGGGCCATCGCTTGTGCGGACAACGACATCTTCTTATCCACGTGCGAATGATGTTCTGGACCCGAAGGCGCTTGCGGTGGCGACGGCACCACCACTGCAGCAACAGCATGAGGCGATTTTTGCGTATTGTACTCGTACCCTTAGGTTTGAGCAGGGCGACTTCAGTGATTTCTTTGGACAACAGCGCCAGCCTATTGTCAGCATCCATGTGGAGCCGCTTCTGCCACAGATTCCACAGCTCATCCATCTGAATGCAGAAAACGATCAACGATTTTCTCTGTACAATTGAAGGGGAGCTACCTGCGCGCGCGCATTGTCATATTGCTTGAGGAGCCCTTCGTTATGCTTATCCAAGGTCGAGAGGAGTGTGTTGAGGGTCTGAAGCTGTTGGTCACGAGTCGCCAAGTCGACGCCGAGTCCGGCCACAGAATCTTGAACTCGAAGGAACATGTGGTGGAGATTTTGGAGCGTGCCATGCAACCCATTACTCGTGGCTTGCAGCGCAGCAACTCCAGGCAACGCACGATAGTACTGGCGTAACATCGTCTGCAGCTCGATCATCTTTTTGTTCTCATGCGAGTCTGGTCGATTAAAGGTCAGATTTCGATCAAGAAATCTGGTGGCAAACCTGGTTTTTCGAGATCTTTTCGAATGATAGGGATCGCGTGCAACCAGTCGGTGACTTGGCCCATAATGTGTTCCTGCAGATGCAATTGATGGTGCAACCCGTCCTTCTCCAACTCGAGCTGGGCGTCGAGCTGTCGCAGATCCAACTGGGCCTTGCCTTCCTCTTGGTGCTTTGCATTCTGCCACTGTGTCTTGTGGCCCTTCGCCCACTCGTCCAACGCGTTCAGATGCTGTCGCAGCTCGTCTGTCGCGTCGGTTTGTGTCTGTCGCATCTCGGCGAGTTTCCCAAATACCATCGACAGATCTGGTGTCGCACCATCCCCTCCTCCACCGCCCGACAGTCCTTGCATCAAACTCTACCACGCATCGGTCAAGGCGCTTCTCATGTGCGAAGGAGAACAAACCTGGTTTTCTTCGAACGCGTCCACCTGACCTTTCAGTTTGCGCACGTCCTCTTGCAACGCTTTCACCGCTTGCTACTCCGATATGAATGTCACTCACGTCGTCGTGTTGCAACATATCGTACAGCGTTGGACTCGGTCGTTGTGTGGTCACTCCCGTGCGCCAGATTAAGATCTCCAATTTGCTTGGTCAAACGCTCGATGCGATCGGAGTGTCGCTGTACTTCGTCGTCGAATTTGCGGGAAGGCACTGTGGAAGGTGAAGTGAGATCAGGCCCACACTGAATGAGACAATTCTTGCCGAGACATGCCGACAGTACCTGGCAAGGGTGTGACTGAAGGCGTTTCTGTCGAGTGGGCTTCCTTCACCTTGCCAGCCAGCTCGTCAAATGCACTGATCATGTCGTGGCGAAACTGGCCAGCGTCCAAATTGCATTGAACGACTTGGTCATGAATACCCTCCACTCGATCGTGCCAAGTAGCCCTATCAACCTCGACATCTCGCAAACGCACAGTGAGCTGCTTGAGTTGTTGATCAAGTTGCTCGACATGCATTTTCTGCGCCGGGTCAAATAGCATGCGTGTGGACGACGTTCCATCGCTGCGTTTGCTCTTCTTGTGTGTATGGGTAACCATGGTCGTTTCGGCCGGAGGAACGCGCGCCGGTCGAAGGACGTCGCCGCCATCACTCAGCACCTCATCGTCATCGCCATCGCTGCTGTCATTGTCGCTATTGTTGCCGTGCAGCTGCGTCAACTGATCTTGTAGAGCGTTGTATCGCGCGTCTTGTGACGTGACGAGCTGGGCGATTGCGTCCTTAATCATGGCTTGAACATCGTTCAAGAGCGCTTCCTTCATCAGGTCAAGCGTGACAGTCGTGACGAAGTCGCTAAGCCGAATGCTCATTTGATCCACGCAATTCTTCACGTCACCAATGGATGCGTCCTGCTCTTCCGCGCGGTCCTCAAGCGCCCGTACCATACCAAGTTTGTTGGTCAACAGTTCCTCCCGACTCTGAATTGGTTCTGCGTTGGCTTCGACGTCGTTCACACGTTTTTCAATTTCTCCGAGCTTTGCCAGCAAGTCATCGTTCGAAATCGAGGGGGATGCCGTGTGTTTGCTCATCTGTTGATATCATCAAACGCACTGTCAAGCCGAACTTCGTGCGTGTACCTCTTCTTGTACTCGGTCGACTTTGTGCAATTGCTTTGCCAGCTCCTGCAATAAAATGTCGTGGTGGTGGATCGTGGTTCCCACAGCTTGCATCACATGTGTCAACGGGGCCACAGAAAACGTGAGTAGATTTGTGTTGAGGGACGCATTGAACTGCTCCGAGTTCCAACTCGATGCGACGGGGGCATAGCTGGACCATTTCCGTGCCGTCGCGGCAGGGGATCCTTCGATCGGCACACCAGCCACACTTCGCTCGGTCGCTTGTGGTGACGGCGATGCGATGTCATCCTCCATGCCGCTGTGAATATCACGTTGCAAGATTGGTTTCGCGCCAAGAATAGACTCACGAGCTGCCCAGCAGGATCGTCCAGACTCAAGTAGCCAATCAATGCATCGCTAGGCATCATTTAGCCAACCAAATGCCTGTATTCATCCCATTGGCTTGTCGATTTTTGATCAACCAATCAGATTACCCACACTGTCTGAACAATCCTCATTTCAAATTTCGCGCGCTTTCACTCACTTCGACCCTGGATCGATCAATGACTGAAGCCACGAGAAACGGACAGCACTTGATGTCCGCGCGGCACAGCGCAACAACGACCAAGGTTGGCGGCGTAAGTAATCTCTCTCCTTAAACTAACGGTGCCGTTCTCTGCTCGTGAATGCTTGATTGCTGTTAGTTGACCTATCATCAAGAAGGGATGGTGAAAAAACATGACAGAGAATGGGTCGCATCCCCTGCTTTGAAGAATGCAATCAGCTCGCACAGATATGATCCATGCGATTCCACAATGAAAGAGATAACGAACGAGGATGAACTTGCGTCCGCTTCAGCCTCTGCAACATCGTGGGGTGGGAAAGTGTTGATGCTGACCCGTCGCCAAGAGTGTGATGCCGTGAATCCAACATTCTACTCCAATTATTCGCAGTTCGATATTATTGATTGTATTGGTTCCGTGGCCCACAAGCTTGGGTACGAATACAAGAAGCTGCCCAACAAGGTTCCACCTCTAAATTGGATTCAGATTAAACTATTTGTTTTGAAGGCGCTGGTGACTGGGCTGCTCTGTGCGGAAGAAGTGACGTTCGTAGTTTCTCTTCAAGCAAGTTCCATGAAGAAAGGCAAGATAAGAATCGATTTCAACCGCATTGAGGTAGGGCGTCAGATTGAGGATGAACTGACAAGACGATTTAAGGGAGATGAGTTGAATTTTGCTCGCATGAGCGACATCTTTCAGAGTCTGGTCACAGTTTTCGACGTCGAACCGGGGTATCCACCGCCTTAGTCATCTTAAATTACTGAGATATCTGATCCATTTAGTGTACCCTCCCTCCCTCAGACCTGGCTTGATGTCGACGGACCTCAGTTGAGTCCTTGTCTCCTGTTTTACCCAGAGCAGTTTGTGTCGTTGTGCAACGAATTTCTCGAAGAATGTGGATGGTCCGATTCAATCTATGTCGCTGCATCGATAAAGGGTGTATGCCTACCTCAGTTACATCGAGCCAAGATAGTCGAGATGCCAATGTTGCTCGCAGTCCTGGAGAAAGCGGTTAGGAAAATGGTCCTCAGTCCGTCATACGAGGTATCACGCTACGGGGTCTTTGTGGTCAGTCTATTCAAGGATGTCGACGCGCATGTATTCAAGTAAGTTGTATCCACACAGCAAGCACTTACCACCGTAGGTACGATGAGGATGTCGCCGATACCATCCGAGATATGCAGGCGAGAGATACCATACAACGAATGCGTGATATCGCACGAGTCGCTGGCAACGTCTTGAACTACGAAGGACTCGATGATTCCAAGACAGGCCTATGAACGCAGACACAATGGTGTGCATGTATCGATGCGAAATTCACTGTTTCGTCCATTCAAGGCAACTTCTTCATACGATCTTCGTCGCTGCAAAACCACGAAATCCCATTGTCGGTTCTTAGAGTACATACAGATCCTTCAAGCTAGTGAACTTTAAGGCGTACTGTGTATTGTCGCATTGTCATGGTAAATCGATTGAAAATGAAATTAGCCAATCAAAATGTTCTTAGGATTTCTGTGCAACTTCTTCAGCCAATCAAAGGGGATGCGTGGTTTCCTCTATTCTGTTGACTGAGGACTTGTGAGCTTTTTCCTGCTGCGTCTTGTTGGCGACGCTGTCGGCGACATGCTGTTCAGAAGCGGCAACATGCCCTTGCCCAAGTTGTGTCGCCTAGAAAAGCCACGTTACTCCGTACTGCAGGTGAAAATGTAGCGCACTTGTCGTTTGAAGGCATGCGAAAGCCAGCACGGTACACATGGAACTCGTCACCTGGCTCGTCAATCGGAACGTCCTATTCGCATCCCCACATTTAACACAACTCAAGATGGTCTATGTGCTTGCATACCAGCACGGGATCATGCGGGACCTTGACCATGGGTTCAGCTGGTAATCGGTCGTGGATGGTGTCTACTGGCCCGATCAATCGCGGAGCAATTTGCCACGTTCAGTGATGCACCTTGGATGTGCGTCTCCAGTTTTACCGGTCGACTGCATGCAATGCACACAACTGGTTTACTCCCACCTACAAAGTCTCTCGCGCGTCACTTGGCCGTCGTCCTCTAGCTCTCGTGTAAATGAACCTGCGGTGGTCCCGTCGCCATATTCGATTGGGCCTTGCAAGGTTTCCATTGCCTTGGCCACTCGCTGCCGAACAAGATCATCAAGTTCGTCTCGAATATCGTGGATTTCCTTGAACCGGCGCGACATGAGTCCCTTGGTGAACAAGTCGACGACACGTTCGCACCTTGCGGTTGAGCGATTGAGTTTCGGCGAGTTTGGCGTCGATGTTTTGGGCAAAGCTGTCGAGCATTTGCCCCGGGTTGTATGTCGGAATGGCATGGCGGGGCTGCGAATTCGTCCGGTGCACTATTCAACGATGCCGTTTCAGGACAAGTGGCAGCATGTCGATCATACTTTCAAGGCTCATAAACAGCTCGGCAACTTTTTCCGTGATTGCTTCGAGCTTGGCATTGAACAATTCGTTCTCGTTGCTTAACTTGGACAACGAATGGTGCGACGTGCCCGCTGCTGCCTCATTTTCTTTTTCCTTTTCCGCGAGCGACTACAGCGAGAAAGTCAAGATGGCGTCACCACGTTACCCCTGACCCACCTGCTTGAGTTCGTTGCACAAGCTAGCAATCAGCTCGGCCTGGTCGTCCAAAGATGGCTTGATCTCAGTGTCGTCCAAGACCCGCATGGGTGTCGACGACGACTGTCCCCCTTGGCCTTGAAAGCGCGCAGACCCCAGAACGGCATGGATCTTGGCCAGCTCCGAAAACACTTGAAACTGCTCGTAGATGAGTTTCAACTGTGGTGCTTTCGAGTACCTTGAGCTTGGAGAGGTTGCCAGCCGTGACCTTGTCGTTCATGTCTTGTTTGTACGCCATGATGTTCTTGCTCAACGCTCTCAAGTTTTCCTCGATGTCGTTGAGCCGCCGATTTGTCGACACGAGTTTCGTCTCGAGGACTTTGGTGTCGGCCTCGGAAAGCCCGCTACCATTGTTGTGCTTGCCTGCAGAGCTAAGTCAGTTCCAAGGAAGATCAAGCCCATGTTGGGCTTGCGCCACAGATCAATACTCACCAATGTGAAGATTGTTCGACGACGGTCCTCCTGCGCGCATTGGCGTTTGCTTGATCATGTCACGGAGCTCCTTGGACAGCATCATGTACTTGGCAAGCATGTCCATGTGCATTTTGGCATTCCATGCATGCCACAGCTCATCCAGCTGAAAAAGAAAGTCAGCTCGACAACCATTCTTCAAGATGGGCGACTGACTTGAGTTCGAATTTGCCCCTGTTGCTTCGCCATGTTCTCGTTGTGGAGCTCTAAACTCGACAGCATTTGGTGCGTCTCGCTGACCGTACTAGTTAATGGTTGGGCGTCCTATACAGTCACGCTGATGACGCGAATCGACGACGCGGGGAAACACTTACCGCTGGCGCGAAATGGCTCAGCTCAATCGAGTGTGCAATCCGCTGGAGAGCCTCGTGAGACTGCGGCGGTAGTGCCAAGACGTGGGAGATCTGTGGCCCCATGCGATGAAACACTTGAAATAGTTTTTGGATCTCGGGTACTTTCACGCCAAGCACATCTGACGTAGACGCCTTCTCAACGTCTTGCCGCATGTCGGTCGCGCGTTGCGTCAAATCCAAGAACGCCGTGAGAACCCGCTCTTGCACGTGCAGACCGCGTTGGACCATATCCTTTTGATGCCCGAGCTGGGCCTCCAGTTGCCGACCCATTTTCTTCACCCACTCTGCGTCTTCGTCGTCCCGCAAGCCTAGTGTGGTCTGGTGGGAGCCGACTTTGGCCTCCAAACTGTCAACATGTCCTTTCAGAGCATGAAGCGCTTCTTGGTTGCTGGTTTGCCGCTCCACGAGCGAATCCACGTTGGCCTGGAGAGCGCTGTTGGCATCTTGCTGCGCCTTGCGCATTTCAGCCAGCTTGGCGAACACCATGGACAGGTCCGTCGAGCTGCTGCCACCACCCGCGCTCGTTTGAAAGCCTTGCAGCAGACTCTACAACGATGTCCATCGCATTTTCAAAAGTCACAAGTGAGGTCTGGCCGACGATTATACCTGGTTTTCCAGAAGCGATTGGAGGTCAGCTGCGACTTTGACCACGTCGGCTTTTACTTTTTGAATCGAACTCTGGCCACGACACTCATGCAATGACCAAGTGCTGCAGAGAAAACGTGGCGCTTACCTTATTGGTGTCCATCATCGACGTGTGAACGGCGTCGGCTGTGGCCAATTCCTTCAATTGCTTGATCACGTCCATCATTTGCTTGTCTACATCGCGTTGTCGTGCGGATCGCTGCGCTTGCAACTCAGCCACGTCCTTGTTCAGTGCGTCGAGGATGAGCGCCTGGCGAGCCAATTCGCCTGCCAACGCATCGTTCGGGCGAAATACGTCGTCCACCACACCTTGGTCCACTCCTTGGTCGAGCAACTCACCCGTTGTTGCCAGGGCTGTGGAGCTTGACGACGCGGTCAGTGGAGGCAATGCATCGCCTCGACTACCACTGCTGTTGATACCACTCAGCTGAGTTGCCAACTACACAATTCACGGGCCAAGGAAGCGGTGTGTCAGCCGGATTGCTGCGTAACAAACGCCTTTGATTACCCCTGTTGCATCTGCTTGCACTTGGTTGACGAGTTCCTGGAGGGCCTCGTACTGCTGGCGTAGTGCTTCAAGAAGGTGCTCTTCTTGATCCAAGCGCTGGTGGATGGTCGCCAACTCCTCCACCGGGATCACCACAGCACTGTCGTTTTTTGCGTCTGGGTTCTTCGACATGGAGGCCAGGTCGGGGGTGTCAGCGTCAAGGCCGGACGGGTGGCTCTGTGCCCGGCGCAGGGGAGGCAGCGGCATCGTGGGGGGTCGAAGGTGCTGCTTTTCTTCGTCCGGGCCAGTGCTGCTGTGCTTGTTCAGGATGTCTTGAATCCGTTGTCTCTCCGAGTCAAATTCCGACTGCATGTATTGCTGCATAGCGCTCAGTTGCGCTTGCATGGACTGCTCCATTTCTTGCTTCCAGTAGGGTTCGTCTCGAGAACTGTCCTGTAGGCGACCCAGTCGAACTTCCATCTCGTCCAACCGTTTCGCCAGAGCCGCCACTGCATCGTCGTCCGGCCGAGAGGTATTGTCCCCGGGGTTCCCACGATTGCGCAGTGCTTCCACTTGTTGCACCATGTCGCAGATCGCGCCGTCCGCGACATCGGCCTTCACTTCGAGGGGATGGATGAGCGCCAGCAAATCTGCGCGTACACTTTGAATCGCGTCTTGCAAGTGGTTATCCAGCACGTCGGCTTGTTCAACTATGGCCTGATTTGTCTAAAACATGATCTCAAAACACTTTAGCACGATGCGGCGCCTCATCGTACTTGGGCCTGGACCTCATCTAGCTCGGCAGAGTGGAGTAGAAGGTGCTGAAGCGTGTCGTCATGTTTCTGGAGCGTCGTTCCTGTAGATATGCTCCCGTCATGAAGCGACGGCAGGTTGATGTCAAATGCATTACCCATGATCTCCATGACATTGGCGAGTGGCCCCACTGACACTGACAGTGAGTACGACAGCAACTCCGTCTGCATCATGCTCGTGAATTGATTGCTGTCCCATGCTGGACAATGCGTTCTCGCTCGGTGGTCGATCTTGTCCACAACTGGTGAAACGACATCATCCGCAGGGGAGTTGGCATCTTCGTGCCGCAGTCTGGCCGACGTCAGTGAGACCACGGCGGCGGGGTCGTCTCCGCCATCCTCGTCACGTTGCATCGCCTCCATCGCGGTATTTTTAGCGGCGGCGAGGTTTCTGTTTCATCACTCCCGTTACTCCAGTCACTGGCCCTGGTACCTTTCGTGTTCGTCGTCAACTATGCCCCTGGCCAACATCCCATTCCAGTGACAACTTCCTCACGCTCGTCTGCTCTCTCCCGCCCCGATGCCATCCAAAAGTCGTCGCGACGATTCCTGTCTCTGTGCCGCCGCCGACATTCAGACTGCCGCTCCGCGCGCTCTGCTGTAACTCTCGCAAGCATAGCCTCTATAATCCTCACCAGATGTCTCCGCCTGCCCAGCTCGCCCTTCCTCGACTATCCTCCATCGGCCGGCCTGAATTCGACGGACCGCTGCCGTCTGTACAATGAGATAGGGCAACCGGATGACTGGGTCAACGTACGTCTGGCTCCACCAATGAAATCACGGGACTCCCGCACGTCGACGGTCACATTCGAATTTGGCGGCGATGGCGGAAAACGCGCAGGCGGCGCTCGAACGCGAGATGGAGATCATCCAGCACAAGCTGAATGGCACATCCATTCTCCATGATGGAGGCGACGACCAAGAGGCCGACGAAGATCTTCTCGCGGACGTTGGGTTTATGTATGACGACTGTCTCGAAAAAGTCACGTGTGAGTTCACTTTCGGCGTCACGTCCGACAGCGACCCGACGCCACGCGTCAGCGTCTTCCTCAGCTACGTCCAAGACGACCCTGGATTCGTTCAGTCGGGTCATTATGTGTGGCCTGCGGCTCCTGCATTGTGCGAATACATGGAAGCGCACTTCAAGGAACTTCCTCGGGGAAATGTCGTCGAACTCGGCGCTGGGTGCGGTCTTGCCGGTCTTGTGTTTGCGCAACTCGACCCATCGTCGACGATCATCTTCACAGACCACGATCCCGGCGTCCTCAAGACGATCGAACACAACGTGACGAAACAGTCGCATCGGCCTGTACATGCTGCGTGCCACACGCAAAGCCTTCGGTGGGGCCCCCAAGGGGCGAACGAAATTGACCGCATTGCGGCGTTACAGGGTGGGCAAAAAGCAGACTTGATTGTTGGAACAGATGTGATCTACGCGCGGGAGATCGTGGCGCTGCTCTTCTGGACTGTGCATCAGCTACTGAAAAAGTCTACGTCCGGCGAAGGCAACCACGAGGGACAGTTCCTCATGTGTTCAAGCTTCTCGTACGACGAAGACACGGAGAACGAGATTGATGTCGCTTGCGCTAAGTATGCGCTGGTCCGAACCATCGTGACAGACACATTGGAGAGCAAGGGGACGCGTATTCAGCAGTTTGTGCGACGTCGCGAGTAAGCTAACGATCCATTTTTTATTCTATCGACCCAAACGCGTACAACTTGTGCGCTTGCATGTACGCCAGGACTGGTGGGAGGACGAGCGAGGCGGCGGCATCGCGCGACTGCCGCGCCTTTGTCGATGACGAGTCGTCTAACGATGGAATGGAGGAAATCGTGACGGACGGATGGGCCGACGTGTCCAACTTCACACCTTCACGCGGAAGCACCACGAGTGGAACCATATCCAACAACGCCAATCCGCCCTTCCACTTGCCTTGAAGAAGGTCCATGTAGGTATCTGCACCGAGGAGCCATGAAAACTCCACGTCAGGATGTTGGGTTTTCAAGTGCTCGACGATGTCAACGGTGCCAATTCGAATGGAGCATGGATCCGTGCCAGCAGGGGCCGCCGCAAGTGCATGCATCCACACGTCCTTTTCAGCCTGGACGACCCGCACGCGGTCGCCGTGGGGAATTGCTTGACGTGCCAGTTCCAACATCGCCACGCGATGCTCAAACGTTTCCAAGTGGCGCTTTGACGAATATATGTGCTGATACACAGGAAGCACCCACACTTCGTCAAACTCGCACGCAAAGTGCTCGACACAGCCCATGTGGCCGCCCATGCCGCACGGCGGATTTGCCGACGTACCGAACACCACGACCCGCTTCATCCTGCCGAATGCGTAAAGGCTGCGGACATCCGGATACCAGAGGTTGAATTCCCTACTCATACTATCCGGAAACGAGACGATATCCGGATGCATCCCTTTCTTCCACATTAAACTGCGGGAAACCAACGACCGTGGTCGGACTTGTTACCATGCCGTATGCATCCCTTCGCCGCGTGCTGCTTCCACTGGTGGATCACCGCGTGGTTCGATCAACAATGCAGATCAACAATGCCACGGCCATGCAGGAGCTGTACATCAGTCGTGTGGACATGAAGCAGCAGTGGATAGTTGTGTCAAATCCATCGACGGAGTCCATTGACTTGACCAACCATCGACTCACAAACGACACGGGCTCGATTGTGTTTCACTTTCCCAAGGGGTATGTGCTGCAATCTGGAGAAGAGGTCACGGTGTGGTGCACCCCCGGGTCAAGCGACTTCAATTCGCACAACCTCCTGGACCCGTACCTTCTGTGGACATCTCTCGATGGCACGTTGTCGAGTTCTCCGTTCTTCGTCAAGTCGCAGCAACTCCACGAAGTGGTCCTACTTGATGCGTACCTCACAGAAGTTGCGTCACTTCAGGTCACGGCCGCGGGCCAGAAAACATTTCGCGTCAACAGCGCCAATCCCCCGCAACTGTCTTACCCATACCTCAATCCGTTCCATTTTCAGCAGCGCCACGGCGTGTATGTGTTTTCTCGGTACTGGGGGGTTGTGTCTGATCCAGCATACGCGGCGCACTTTGCCGCGGTCGTCGTCTGTCCTCTGGTACGCTCCTTGCCGTATGTCTACGAAATCCCCTTCATGGTCCCATTGACAGATTGAAGTCGTGCGCATCTTGATCATGTACAGCGTTTTGGTACAAGTGTATTTGAACCCGGCGGACTTAAACCCGTTCTTCCTCCCGGTGGCGTTTGCTTGCGATGTGTTGACGCGACTGGTGTCGCTGTCCATCAAAGATGGCCACCTTGCCACGTTCCTTTCGTTCTCGTCGTTCCTGGTCGACCAGTTTCATCTCCTTGCCATCTACCTCAGTCTCATGGTGCTGTTTCCGTCCATTCGACCGGTTTACTCGGCGCTCCTCACTGCTGAGTTCACACTTGGCCTCTTCAGCTTGGTTGGGCCTCCAGCCCATTTTTTCACGACACGGCACAAGTGGCACCGCGTGTTTCGATGGACCGAATCGGTGCTGTACTCAAGTCCAAAGGTTGTATCCACGTGCTTCGTGGCCAAGGAAGCGTTCTTCTTCCTCATGCACATCAAGGCGTCCAAGTGGATGGCCCGCGTGTCGCCGCTCGTGCTCCATCTGGCGCTATATGTTTGCATCCCTTGCGTCGCTCTAGCTACCGCGATGACTGTGGCTCGCGGTATGTCCATTGCAGTTCACATGCTCTCATCGCGACGGCAGAAGAAGGTCGACTAAGCAATAAGCACTGGAATCGCAGAAACGTTATATGCGCGATACACAGTCGACAAAGATTTTGTTTCGTGAATGAAAGTGTATTCGTGGTTCATCAAGGGCGATTGAAGGGGCGAGTGATCCGCCGCAGCATCGTGGGAGTGGATACAATGGGGACCGCCGGGGTTAGAACGAGCTCCCTTCGGGGTGTTGCGGCAGTCGCTTGTTTGTGGCAGACGCCATTTCGTTGCGCAACGCAACGAGCACTTGCTCGATGCCGTACGTTCGCTGCCACGACGCCAGCACACCTGATAAGCCACACAAGGTTCCGTTAGCGAGCGACTCGTGTCGCGACGCGCTCGTACCAAGACCACGAGGGTTCACACGTCCGTTGGTTTGATCGACGCAAGACATGTTGATACGACTCGTGAACAACACCTCGGGGGGCGCGTTGGGATAATTCTCGCCGCAATGAATCTTCAAACTGTAGATGCGCCCGTCGTGGGTGGTCTACACATAAGGGATATTCGACAAGGAAGAGATGGACGACAAGTCGTCGCAGATAATATGACGTACGCCTGCAGGGCCGAGGATCGTACCGATCCAACTCGTCAGGAAAATGTCGTCCGCCTGTTCCAAGCCATAACTGATGCTCATGTCGCCATGACCTTTCTCTGCGCTCTCCAGCTCTTCCAAGAGCTTAAAGTTGCGCGGCACTACACCATGGTTGAGTCCACAGTCATCACATCTTGTCGGCCGATCCGCATACCAATCACGACTTCCGCCCCAGCTTTCATCATGTTTCGTCACCCCAAGGAAGGTTTCTTGGATTGAAAAGGGGAAGTTCCGCCCATTGGCTTCTTAACTTTAATTTTGTCCAATCAAGTTCATCCATATCTCCAGAATGGCCGAGCCACCAATGCACCACCCGAGCATCCGCAGCTGCATTCAAACCTCATCGCGACATCAAGCATGCTAGCTAGCTCGCGCGAACACAACTCGATGGGCGATATTCGCTGCCAAGTATTTCTCTTGTCTATGACCAACGCTGTGTTTGGAAGAAGGAACTGCATTGCTCGCATTGGTTTTTCATGCTGCATTTCGCACAATGCAAGTATTTCAAAAAGTAACGCGCAACATGAGTGAGAATTCTGCACCTACTTCAGGGTTGCCTCGCGTCGCCTTTCAGTGTACACGTACACAGCGCCTAGATCGGCCTCAGTCGTCGTCCTCGACGGCGTCCTGGCGGCACTTCGACCTGTCAGGAATGGAATGTTGGTCGCTGAAGAATAGACTGGTTTATCATATTGCGCAGGTCATTCGAGTCTAGATTTGGTTTGATATTTGTATAATCGTTGTAACTGGCTTTCGAATGATCCGTTCATAGAGGTCGCCGTCTGCCCACATCAGAAATACTTCACGAGAGAGGCAGAGGAAGCGATGATGCCGATGGAGACGACGATTGCCCCGCCGTCGACCAAGGCCGCGGCGACGACAGTGGTGGCCACGGCTGCGGAATATGGCAAGCTTGCGCCTTTAAACCCGGATGACCTGAAACTCCCACCTCCGCCGCCGAGCGCCGCCGCCAAAGTCCGAAAGGACAACGAAGCGCTATCGCTGTCTGAAGTCTGGGGCGAAATCAAGGGAAAATTTCACGAAAGCGTCACGGGGACGTCCGTGTCGGGCATTCTCAACGCGATCCGCATCTGTAACTTTATCATGGCTGGCGGGATGATCGCGATTGCCATCTTGGAGATGCTCAACAAGGATAGTTTCGGCAGCGCAATCAGCAGCGTCATGGCCGTGGTCTACACCATGTAAGTGGCACGCACTGTCTACCAACAAATCCGTCGGTCTCATGTGCGTTTTATGTAGTCTCTTTGGGCTGATCTTGATCGGGTATGAATCTCGCACCAAGTCGGGCGACGAGTTTTTGCGCGCCAACTACGGCTTCCTGTACAACCCTTGGGGTCGTTGCCTCTTCCTGTGCATGATCTCCATCTTCCCCTTTGGCATGTTCAGCCCATACGGGTGGATGTTCTCCCTCTTTGGCTTTGCCAACGCGTACTTCAACTACTTTGTCATCACCAAGGTTTGTGACTCGAACCACGCACTCTCGTCCATGGCATCTTTCTCATCCATGTTGTCTGCGTAGCATCCCTCGTTCACCAGCGGCGTTCCGGACTATGAGCCCCCTGCCGTGAATACGGTTGTGTAAACTTGTTTCGAAGATGGCTATTTTATCATCCACAGCGACAGCGCCTTCGGCAGTGTCATAAGTGATGTGATTTGCTCGAGTTTTTCGACTCCTTCGCGTCGTATGCTACAGGGAACCCCCTCTCCGGGCGGTCCTCTCCTGAGATATCGCATCCATTGTGTTTAACTCTTGGACGGGATTATGAGCATATGCATCCCTAGCACACATGAAGTTGCGCTGGAATCTCACAGCTGCTGTCAGGGTGGCGCACCGCCGCGGCGAAAGATTCAGCAGCGTCAACTTGATGTTGCGGTCCCATATCGTGGTATAACTTGACTGGCTATGGATCAAAATATATCTATGCGTTTTTTCACATTTTTCTCGATTTCATGGCAACCAGCGCAATGAGTGACGAAGATGCGGCTGCAGACGGCGTGAACTGGGACATGGTGTACCAGAGGGCATGCCGACCGAAGGCTTGCGCGATCCAGATGTGTTTGTCTCGGCATAAGTATCAAGAATCCAAGTGCCAGGCTGACATTGACGCATACAAGACCTGTTGCAGGAAGGCCCGAGCACGTGAAGAAGAGTCCCGACGATGTCGCACCAAGCTTCCCACGTCAGCGACTGCAGATCCCGACTCCACCGCAAGTCATACCCATCACGATCAGCAGTGACCTATCCAGTGTACGATTTTGTTCCTTATTGATTCAGCAGCTGGGGGGCGGTGTGGCTGAAGCAACGTGCTCTGCATGCGCTTGTGGTCGAAGCATGACGTTTCGAAAGGATTTCCCCAAGATGGCAAACCGAATCGAATGCATGAGTTGCATGTAGTCGGCGGTCACAAACATCATGGCCCTGGTCCAGTGTTGTCATCAGCTCTTTCTCCAGCAAATTGTCAACGTACCCTAACATCATGAGCGAGTCGCAGCAGAACGAAAAGAGCCCGATCACCACCATTTGCACCACTTGCACGGCCATGAAGAAAGTCAAGAGACGAAAGGGGTGTCGCCAGAGGAAGATGTGCAGCTGACTGGACCACTTCCCCGGCTCGGCCTCATTCCGCACGCCAATAGCTTCCCACGTCCGCCCGCTGTATCGAACGACCGCACCTTGCATGTAGGTCGTACCACGGATCCATGGCTGCGTTCCCATCCTTTTCGTGACGACTACATCATTTTCTGCATCGGCTCAACTCACCTCGGCAAGGTCATCTTGGTACTGAATGGCCTTCCAGCCGTGCAAGCTGTGTGCCGTGATTTGATATTGAGTGAAATGGAGGATGAAGTACCTGTGCCAAGAAGAAGGGAGGACACCATCAGCTTGTATCCAATCCAACGACACAGGAAACACGTACTTGGCTATGGCAGCCATCACATTGTTGATGACGGCGGTGCTGATGACCGCCATGGCGGCGGCACGGTCGTAGATGAGCGTGGGGTTCTATGTAGAAGTCGGCATGAAGCGGTGAGCGCCATGTGCGAGCGACGCGTACCACATCGAGAACAAGGGTGACGACACCGACAAAGTACGCTTGCTCAAGGGCAAACAAAAATTCCAAGGGGGTGCTGAGATGAGGATGGTGTCGCCAGCGCTCGGCCACAAGCATCACAGAACATCTATGTTGACGACGTCACGAATATCGAGGGAGTGTGCCAGGACCCACGGGACGACAAGGAGGGCGACGAGTTGGCGGACATCCTTTATCGATCGCAGAAGAAAGAGAAAGGACAGGACAAGTATCGCCCCAGATATGGAGAAACTTCGGAGGAGAGAGCTTTTTGGCAAGTTATGGATGATGCTGCCATGGAGACCATACTTCTTCTCGTACTCCGCCATGAAGAACGCTCGTCCGAGCCACACCGATGAAAACGCAAAGAGCGAGAACCGGCATTCCGAGAACAACTACAAACTGGGTGATGGGTCGAGAATGCGACGCGAGTTGCCCTTCCACCAACTCACCGTGCCGTACAAGATGAGTGTCTGTATCGAGAGGAGAGAAAGGTTCACCCTCCAGGTATTAAAGTCAATGGAGATCGTTACGTCGCTCAGTCGCGTGCGAAGCCCGCAATAGTAGTTGGTCAGGTCGTCCAGTGTCGCTGAAGCGCTGCGGCGGGAGGTTGGCGGCGCCGATGGCATGCTCACGACACGAAATGTCGAACGATTTTGACATCCGGATATGATCTGGACAATTCCCACAACGAGTTGAGGAACCGGCCTGCGATGAGCCGCACGGCAACGGCCGATGGCGCCGTCCACAGGAAGCAAAGATGAGAAGTAGGGAAAGCCAGATGAATTCGCAGCGTGGCAAGCAGATCTCCACGTGGCCTTATCCAACTTGCATACAAACTCGAGAATATACCGAAGTTGGGAGAGCTGTTGTAGTTTGCATATGCAGTTCTTGCGTCGTCATGAGGCAGAAGAGACAGGCTAGATCGACCAGGAAAGCAAGAAGGAATCGTTGAACATCGTATTCTATGGCATCCCGAGGTGTCCTGCGGTCGAAACTTTGCTTCTTCAATCCTCAGCTGGTGATCCGCACCTGTCGCTGGGCCAACTCGCCAGTTGGAGATCCCTCATGCGATGCAGTGTCACCAAAGCACCATTGCTTCATGCCCTATCCAGCATGAGCGAACCGAGCATAGAGAGACCAATGGAGTTCTTGCATGGTGCGTCGTCGCCTAGGCGTGGCGACACAACCACTGCTCACACGCCCATGCGATATTGGCAAAACCGGATAATATTATCCGGACACGCAGTCCTGCGAACGCACCAGGAAAACTTCAACACTTCAGCAGGGAAGAATGGACCGGCCGAATGCGAAGCAGGGCCCAGGTCTCCCGGGCCGTGCCGATATCGCGACGACGCCGCCCGAGTCGGACAAAGCACCGTCTACAGCGCCACCTACGCCAACGTTTGTGAGCTCAGGATTCGACACAGGCGACATCTTCCGCGAAGAAGACGTGTTCCCATGGCTGTTTTTAACTTCAGATTTGGCGCCGCTGGACCAAACGTTGTCATTTGGCGATGAGATCAAAGACGACGACTTGTTTCACTTTGCTCCTTCCGCTGAACCACCAGAGGCGTCAATCGCACCCGATGCACCACCGACATTAACCTCAACATCGGCCAAGCAGCATTCGTTGGACGGTGGTATTCAGCCCCCGATCGCATCACCGTCGTCGTCCACATCCTCCTTCCTCGCTGCACCCAAACCTCCTCTTATGAAACGCGAATCTACCGCGGGGAGTTCCGTGGCGTCGTTTGACTCGGACGAATCCGACTCGGACTCGGACATGGACGACAGCGACGGTGCATCGTCGAGCCGAACGACGGCACAATCGTCAGATCTGTCCAAGAAAAAGCGCAAGCGACTAAAGCGAAACCGGGACTCGGCGAGGGAGAGTCGGAAGCGGCGTATGGCGCGAATCCAGGAGAACGAACTTCGCCTGAAGAAGCTCGAGTTAGAGAACCTCGATTTGAAAATGCGTCTGCGGATCGGCAAAGAAGCCATCGTAGTCGAGCGGCAGGAGAAGGCCAGCTACAAGCAAAAGATGCATCACTTGCTCCAGGTAGGTGCAGTCATTTCAACCCCAGCTGGGTGACCTTAATATCTAGACTGGCGCGAGTCCGGCCGAAGTCGCCAAGTTCATCGAGTTGTACAAGGCCAACTACAGCGACTACGGCGCGAAGAGACGAGAGACCATCGCATTCCATATCGCTCGGGTGCGCGACCTGCTTCTCCCGACGCAAGTGACCAAGATGTGTATGTACTCGGTCGAGAATGCGGACGAAGTCAAGATGAAGAGAGCGTCGGCCGTGCCTCGCCCGGTCGCTGTCGATGAACAAGCGAATCTGTGGGAGATTCTCGCAAAGGAACTCGACATCACCGAGGCCCAGCAACGCCAGATCTTTACACGGCGCGACCAGATCAAGCTCCTGCGCGACAACTTGACCAAGAACCTGCGCAACCTCGCTGCGTTCGAAGTGGCCACGCACGAAAAGAACCGGTCCCTTGACAACGAAGTGTCGCTGCTCCAGACGATCTTGACGCCGCAGCAAGCCACCAAGTTTATCATTTGGTACGGCAATCGTTGTCACGTCTGCGCATCCCTCATGCGTGCTGTAGGGTCAAAGACAACCCGGCGTTCATGTACATGCTCGACCAGTTAGTACAGTCGATCATTGTCGGCACCGACGATGTCGAGGGCCAGCTCTCGTCATAACTTAAACCGCGTTCTTTCCATGGTGGTGGAAATGTACTAACGCCTGACTAGTACATGTGGATGCAACTGTACAAATGCATACGTACCTGTACAAACGAATACGAGGAAACGCCTCGCGGGCAGTTTCGCCATGCCGAGCGACACGGCGGCGGCGTCACGACGAATCACCACAGCTTAGGTGCGTGCATGGAAGAGACCCACCGACGTGCGTGCGTGGACTCGTTGCTGGCGTTGCTTGAGCGAGAGGTCCAGCTGCAAACGAAAAACGACAACAACTTACACGTGCAGCAACTTGTGCAAGTGTGTGGCCACTTTGTCGAATTGTCGTGCTCGCATGCGATGTGGAGCGTCAAAGCCAGTACGAACGAATCCGCCATGATGGAGTGCACGCGATGTCTGGATTGGTGTGTTAGAGGACGACATGCCGGCGATGGCGCTGCTCGAGAAAACAAAGGTGCTGCTCGACCTCCACAGCAAGTCATGGAGCCACTGCCAACCGCACGACCCCGACCACCTCTCATGGCTCGAGCTGCGTCTCCGCGTAGCCAAGCAACTTGGGGGTGTGAGTCGGCGCATACGTAAGAAAGGTCATGTCCTTCTTGAATGTCCCTGACACGTCGATTGGCAGACGCCGTCGACGAAACGATGAAATTCGTGTACGACGCCATGGCGATCGAGTACAGCCTCTTCGACGTCCTGGCCACAGGTACAGTCCTCGCATGCAGGTGCCTTGACTTTGTTCTTGCTGCACGTGTAGACAAGTCCAGCCGAGAGCGGTTGCTTCGACACCGCACGTCCATTGCCATGGCCCACATGCAGATCGCCGACTTCTTTGCCAGTGTTGACGAACATGCTGCCTCCGCCGTAAACGCTCAACATGCGGTACATGATGATGCCCCTGGAGTTTGCGGCGTCATGAGTGACGCTTTGCGATGCGCTGTAGGCGTCCATGCTGTTTGAAGCCCTCGTTGTGTGGACCAAGCTCGAGTCGGCCGCCCAGGACATTGCAGTTCGAGACCACGTCGCATCGAAGCTTGCTCTAGCATTACACAACTACGGCGCGGAACTCGAGCACTTGGACGAGGTGCGACGTGCTGCGTTTGTGCAGCTCGTGACGGAATCAATGTCCAGGCGTCGAACGCACTACAAGCATACCGCAAGGCGTACGAGGTCAGTGTCGCATGCTTTGGAAAAGACCACCAAGGGACGAAAACAATGGGGCGGGCATTGCAGTCGTTCTCGATGGCGCTGAAGGAGGGTCCGCTGTCACCTACGCCCAAGAAGTGCCCATCTCCCCAACTCGTGCCCCCCACCCCCCACGACAAACAAGATCGATGGCGGTCGAGCACACTCTGGCCTGCCTTGCTCAAACGGCTCCAGAGCCACCATGTCGACATCGCGATAGACTTGTCGCCTCCCAAAAAGCCCCAACCCACCAAACCTGGCCCATCGACCAAGGCACGCACACTCATCTCTGACGGCAACCTAACCTTGACATGATATCGTAGCCCAAACCGACGCCCGTCGTCGCGAATCCCATGACGTCCATGTTTGCACCACGAAATATCACGTACGCGCCCGTGCTCCAGCGAGACCCTCGGGCGCTTGAAGCCCCGACGTTGCCGAAATCCCCCCACCACCAACGTCCCGCCACCGCCAAATCTCCTTGGAACAAGCATGTCTCTCCTTTCCAGGGGCACCCGACGACCATCGTGACGATTCAGTCGCCATACGACGCGACGCGTCCGCCTTCGTCGTCTTTGCCACACCGTCCAAAGGTCAGTCCCCGCTTGGCCGGCTGTGAACGTGACGGCGTATGTAGACGGCTGGATTCGTGAAGAGAGCAGCGCCAGGAGACACTACTGTAACCTGCCACACACGTCGGCAGCCGCCGACGATCCCTCCTTCATCTCCGCAACCTCGGATGGATGCCCTATGCGATCGTACCTGCGATGCCACGTTGACATTGAAACACGACGCAAGTGCACGAGCAACGACGTTGTCACCGGACGACGTCGGCCTACCGACGCCGGTTGCCAAACTGCAGGCAAATCTTGAACTCGCCAAAACCATCGCCGCCAGTGACGAAATGCAGGTCGAGCCACCGTCTAGTGCCAGGTCCAAGCTCCTGGCAAAGAAGGAGGAGCGTATGAGAGAGCGCCGGCGAAGTGCCTCTGCCGAAGCGACCAGGACAGCACCGGATGATGAAATTGGCAGCGCCACGTCCTGTCTAGAGGCAGAACACGCTTCTGATGGCGCGAACGCAAAGGGAAGCAGCAACGACCCGCCAAACGCTGAAGAAACCCTCGCGCCGACCGCTCAAGCGAGACTGGCCATAGTACGTCAACAGTCTGAACACGTGTGCAACGTCGTCGTGCGAGCCGCCGCGAGTCCCGACAAAGCAGCCCCACCGCTACCTGTGACTGCATGGCCACTCTCTCAACATGGCGAGGCGATGGATTCAATCGTACGAGTGGCGTACGGAGCACACGAGGCGATAGATGTGGAGGTGCAGAGCTCCGCGCGACGTTGTCTTTACGACCCACCCCCGTTGCGACCTTCCAGGCTCGACCTGGTGCGGCAGCTGTCGTCCCAAGTCGTCGATCACGTGTTGAGGTCCACAAGTCAAGGCAAACCGGGCCCAGTGCATTCGTCTCTGTTGATGCCAGGCATCTCCGCCACGTCCTCCATCGACACCACTCATGCCACAAACACACCAGCACGGCCTCCCCAACTTCACGACGACGAAGCGATGGAATGGCAGACGGAGCCACACCCTGCAACGTACATCGAGCCACGTGACAGCCAATATCGGGTCGAGGCGGCAACAGATCCGACTGCATCCAAGCAAGTCCCAAACCTCCACATGGACTTCATTCTGAACGAGCCAGTCGACTCTCTCCAGCGCAATACACATCCGTCGCATGATGGGCTGCGTGCCACCGACTACATCGAGGACATCCTGATGGACGACTTCTCCAACAACCATCTCAACCTCCATGAAGGCGCGCAACCACGGACTGTCGTCGTGCCGTCTATTCGGACAACTCCACCACTGCCGCCTCCAGAGCAACCTGACAACGCTCGAACGAGCGACTACGTCCACGCAATAGCTCGACAACTCACCGACCAAATTTGCCAAGTGGTCATGGCAAACCTGGCGATGCGCAGTCCGTTGGTGCAAGTGCCACCGGAAGACTCGGGTCCAGACCAAAGTTTGTTACGCCGCTCGTCGTCCGATGACGCTCCCCACAGCATCGAGGATTGCCACGCCGGTGAAGGCGGCGAACCGTTCGTCGTAGAGTCCCCGCCATCCGCGTCGTCCGTGAACAACACAGCCTTATCTGGTAGCGTTTTCATTTCCATCTTGGCATCATGAAATTCACTGCCGTGATGCAGATGAATCGTCTGCTTCTTCAACGAGATCCACGGGCTCTCGCCGTCGAGGCCGCAGGAGGCACCGATCGAGGAGTACAAGTACCAGCTCGTCTTGTTCCAGCAGTAGTAGCAGCTCCGAGTCAAGCATCAGCAGCAGTCCAAGCTGCACCGAGAGGTCGCACGTGAGTCTCGGGACCATGTCGTCCGATTCGGTAGACCTCGACGACAGCCCTGACGACGATCGTGGTAATGGCGCTCGAGTACGCAAACGGCATGCTTTCACTGCAACTGTTGTCGTACCCACGTAGCGGATAAACCTTCGTGCGGTCCCACCATCGTCCTCACATCGTGTGCCCCGACCACGAGTACTGCGCAGCCTCAGTCTGCTCAACCGACGGCGATGGGCGTGGATGGCACGACCCAGTTCCCTTCTCCTACCGACTAGAAACGATTCGACGTGAATGAAAGTTCAACACATCAACACACACTCAAATGTCCATCTTCACGAGAACCACTTCTTCTTGGACGCCATGCACATGTTCATCATCTTGACCATATTGTCGGCCGTTCCGTTCGCCACGAGAGACTTGGGCACGCTTCCGCCAATGTCGACGTGGTTGATATACGTCATGCGAAACCCAGTGGACGTGCCATCCGCAGACGTGGTCGGCTCAAATTCAAACGAGATGAAGTGGACCTTTCCGCGCATGACGCCCGCTTTGACGGGAATGTCGGGTCGGTCGATCACCCCCTGCACAAACGCAAGCGCCGTGCCGTGCTGGAACGCGAGCAGCACAAAGTCGCGGGAGCTCACAAGCCCAAACCCGTGGGGCTTTTGCGTGTTGTGCACGACGTACGCCGTCGTCGAGTCGTCCAACGCGATCGTGTCGACGATTTCGTTGGCAGCCATGCCCGTGTCCCACTTCTTGCGGACGGCTGGATCCGCGCTTGAGAGAAACTTGAGCATGTCTTCGGCGGCGACGTCCGCAATGAACGCTTCCTACACGGCGGACGTCAAGAAATATCGCATCGTGCCCCGCACCGCTTTGAAAATCGGCTGAGCGTCGCCACAGTCGATCTCAAATAGAGATACCGCGCCCTTCGACTTGGCCTCGTTCTTGACCCAGGCAGTGGACACCTTGAGTTCCTCAAACCTCGCCATCAATTCTGTCTTGCGCTGCCGGTAGTCGTCGATGGTGAGCGGAACGACGGTGGTCTCTGCTGGGCTGCCAGTTGACAGGTCGTCGGACGCATTGCTCGTGGACGAAGTTCGTCGGATGGGGCCTTGCAACTGCGATGGCTTGTCGGATGACGCTCCATGTCGACTCCACGCCGGGTGGATTAGCATGAACAGGACGTACAAAAGAGCCATCGCACCGGCGCGATGCATATATTCGAGGTCTTCGAGAAGGGATGTGCCAAACAGGAGCGCTGCTGTGAAGAGAGACAACCACAACTCCGTATGACTTTCGCGAGGCGATCCGCCGCTGTCTGTCGAAGGTTCGGACTCGTCAACAAGGATGAATGTGCCGTTTTCATCTGAGCTGTCCAGTGCAGTGCTATCTCCGTCGTTCTCGGACGAGTCTGAGTTACTCGATTGGTTCAAGATGTTGGTGTCGTAGCAGCTCGCACACAATCGGGCGTGCAGAGCGTGCTTGCCCAGCTTGGATTTCTCCGAGTGGAACATGGGGATCTTTAGGACACAGAGGGCGCACACAAGTTTTTTGCAGTTGCAGCACTGTTTGCACTGCAAGAGGCGGGAGAAATGCCGCAAGCAAAGCTTGCATCTGTCGGGAGTATATTCCTTGCCTCGCTGCTTTTTGCTCAGGCGAGACGATGGTGTTGGCGCACTTGGCGGTACCACAAAGTCCTTGTCGTTCGAGCCGTTGGATCCAGATGACAGGCTTCGCCTTCGCTCGACAACGCCGTCCAATGATGGCTGGCGCACCAGCTGATCGATCGCCATGGCGGAGAATGCCGAAATGGTGTCGGGGTCCGTCCCATGCGCAACAAATTCCATGTCAGTAATCGTAAGTATCCGGTACCACATGCATTTATCCGGATAATGCAGCGCTCATGATTGGCCGACGGAATCACCCAGCAACGGGGAACCAAGGAAATACGAGGGAATTATGGGGAAAAATCCTTTGAAACCCCCATATTTCAATGAAGTACGCAAGCAATACGACGGAGTCTGGAACTGGACAATTCCCATTCGTCAAATTTCCTAATTTTGGTGTGTCGATAATTCGAGTTTCGAAGGCCGGCAAAGTTGCTTATTAAAACTAGAATAATGACGCGACGGCCGCTGTTCATATGTATGGCATTCAATGCTATACAATGAAATGATTGTTGCCACAGAACAGGTGTGGCCGTCACAGCACCGCCTGGAGTGCTCTGACGCTGGCTCAGGTTAATGTGTGATCACAAGTACCATACGGATCTGCTCTATAGCCATGCAGTGGGAAGAATTCCCCGTTGTCGATGCAGCACATGATTCGGACCTCGCTCGGCGTGAGACGAGTTAACATCGGAATGATGCGAATACATGGCGTCTATGCATTGGCACGTTTTGAACGCTACCACGGCGTTTACTTGAAGTTTGTAAAGATCCGATGCCCTGTCACGACGATCTTTTGCATGATATCATATGGATAAATTCGTGGTCGTGGTCGCGCCGTCGTCAATGTGTACGGTTGAGAATTCAGAAATTTGGGCGACCGCTATATCGCTGCATTCGGTCGATGCCAGTCCGAGCTGGTGAGGTCGTTGGGGAAGGGTGGCACGGCGCCTCTCAGCGCACGCTCGCACCTCCTCACACGTACACACGACTGGTTGGTTGCCATGTTGTTCGGCAAGAAGAGTGCCTCGAGCTGTCGGTCAGTCCCTTGGACCCCTCCAAGCACCTCACGTCAAACAAACCAATCGACGAGGATATATTTAAATGCTTGGACGACTCCGTTTCATTGAGCGTCGGTGAAGTAAGGCTGGCGCAGTTTGTCCAGAGCGATCTTGATGGGCGGCAAGTTGTCTGAGAAGGCATGGCGCGACGTTTTGGGTGGGAACACGTCGTCCGATAGCGCCATGGCAATCACTTCCTCCTTTGTCAACGAATCCCTGCCGCATTCTGGCCAGACATCGACGGTGATGGAATTGTCTTCCAAGTAGTCGACAAGCACCGCAGGAACTGTAAGGAGGCCCAGCTGGACTGCAACTGTGTACCGATGATGGCCATCGAGAATCGCACCGGTTTTGCGATCCACTAGCAACGGCTCGAGGTACGCGTCCCACTTGACAGTGGCACGGCGGAGACCGTCGACGCGAGAGGCACTCACAATGGCTTCGTGAGCTTTCAACCACGATACGAGTACGAGCACGACTTTTTGGCGCTTCGGCGACCGTTCTTTCTCTGCTTCGAGGCGGTACTTGTAAAAGTACGACGTCGGATCTGTGATTCGCGAGGCAAAGAACTTTCGGTAGGTGTTCCCAGAGTCCATAATGTCTTCGAGTGTCTGAGCCATGCGGCCCTTGATGCGCGAAAAGGACGAGGTTGGGTCGTTCGCGCGGATAGCGTCGAATGCGACGCTACGGTTTGGGTCTTTTTTCGCGGGCCGCGTGACCAAGTCCAACGTGGTTGCACCGTGGGACGGCCGCCGCTCGATTTCTCGGATGCGGTGGCGAAACAACGAACGAACGACGGTCGTCGCCAAATCGGACGCCCCGCCCAAGAGTGCCAGCGACGTTTGCAGCACAAACTGACGCTTGCTGAAACGACGGGGCGGCATGGCCACGACGCTGTTGGTGGATGGGACGGGATCCGGGAGGCTCGCGACTTCGGTGTGGGCTAGCTGCACCGCCGGACACCTACAAAAACGATAGATTATAAAGACAAATGACTTGAAAAATTCGAGCACGCACTCGTAGCCCAAGGTGCCTTCGGTCGGCTCGACTCGCAGCGCAGATAAGGGGATCGAAATAGGTGGAAGGGACTCAGTGAACCGATGGCGACTCGTTTTAGGTGGAAACACATTCGGCGACATGGCCATGTCAATCACTTGTTGTTTTGTCAGCGACGACCGGCCACAGTCGGGCCAAACGTCCACCGTGATAAAATCGTCGCCCAAATAGTCGATCAAGACGCACGGGAGTTGCTTTAGATCAAGCTGCAGTCCGACGGTGTAGCGATGATGGCCGTCAAGGATCGCACCAGTCTTGATGTCGACGAGCAAGGGTTCCGTGTACGCGTCCCACTTGAGTGTGGCGTTCTTGAGGCCATGCACACGCTCCCAACTCACGATCTCTTCGTGGGGTTTCAGCCACGACAGACTCACGAGCACGACTACTGCTTTGCGAGGGGCAATATGGGCGTCGTGATACTTGTAGAAGTAGGACGTCGGGTCTGTGAATCGAGACAGCAAAAAGTGCTTCTTGTCGCTGGAGGAGCCTCCATTTTCTAAACGAAGAAGTAAGTTACGAAAAACGATAAATGGGTGTACCGTGCGTAAGGTTGATGTTTGCATCGTCCTGGGTTTTCGGGAGCCACAAGTGCTTACGGGGTTTCCACTCGGTGGATGAGGCCTCGGTCACAGACACGGGTGATGCCGTCTCGACTTCTTCTGCTTGGTTAAAAATGTTTCGCAGGACGTCGGTGGTATAGCCTTGGGCGCTGAGAAACAACCGCATCGACACTTGCTTGAGCACATCACGTTTCCGACGACGAGGCACCTCAATCGCCTCGACCGTGTTGCCGTTGTCGTCATGGACATTCTTCTGGCGCTTCGTGGGGACTGTGCTTGATGACGCGCGTCGTTCCCGCGTCATTGGCGAGATTGTTCTCACTTCCATGCTGCGAGTGCTACGGTACTTCGTAGCGCGCGGCCGTCGCGAGTTCGAAAAATGTCGAATCGTGCCTGACTCATTCCTGGGGATGTTTTTATCGTCGCATCATCACCTTGACAGAATAACATGATTGGTGAACTCCATGAATAAATTCAATTTTGTCCAATTAAACGCTCTTGTTTTCCTCGACAGCTGCGACGTCGGCTACCCTGTGCCCCATTGGCGTTTTGATTGGATAAAATAACGTCTTTCTTGAAACCTCCTGTGCAGATGTCGTTGCGACTCAATGGATGGACAAGCGGCCTTCACCTGCATGCTGACCACCAACGCAACAACGTACGTCTTTGATTGCACAGTGATGTGGACAGGTTGGGCACATGTGTCGGACGACGCGGAGGATTTCGGCGCCACCATTATTTGCTCGGCATCAAATTTAATACTAGTATTGACAGAGCCTGGTGAAAATGTATGCCTGCCTTGGAGAATGTTGGTAGACCGCAATGACGTGGCATCACGAAATACATGGTCGACGTGGCAAATTCTCGATGCATGAGCAAGGCAAAAGCACCGACTAGTTCCAGCATACAAGCATGTATTGCAGCTTGAGAAGGAGACCTCGACGAAGACAGTGGCAATTCTGGCAAATCGGTCAGGGAAGAATTCGACCCGTCGCGAAATCAACGGCATGCAACATCGCTATGCGAACTTGACAAAGTGTTGGAAATACCGATGCCTGCTTGTTGCATTTCACGCCATGGTCCATTCGTGTGTGATGCAATTCCACCATCATTGGCACGTTTCGAGATGCTGAGGAAATCCCCTCGTATGTGGACAGAGCTTACTCCAGAATTGTCGTGAGGTTGAGGACCAGCAACTCCATTTGAATAACGTACCATGAAGGACGTCTAGAGTCCACAAAAGTTTGTGGAACAGAATATCTTGTATCACCTTGGCCATGTCCTGCGGCAAAACCGGAGGACTCGCCAATATGTATCTTGACGCTTGCCAACTCCCCGTCCTGAACATTCCAGTGTCATGGACGCCAGGGAAGGGGCTTAGTTGTCACTTGGTCACCTTGCCTGGATGGCGCGCACTCAGTCACCATTGTCCAATTTCCGCTCGACATAGAATGTAAGGGGCACAAAATGGCGTCTTCCGCTGTGGCGAACTCTGCTTGGAACCATTGGATTTCGTGTGGCATTGTGCAAATGTGTACAAGGAGGACGAAGGGCATCGACGGTCGAAGCGGTCGGTTCACGTAAGGATTCGCCCTTGGGTCGTCGTCCAACTCTTTCAACGTGCTGGCTGAGTATTTCCCCAGGAAGTCATGAAGAAGTTCCAGAGATTTTCCTCCCCAAATACATGACGTATGGGTAATACACGTTTATCCCTATGCGAGTTCGCTTCAACGTGAATGTTGATTTTGTCCCCGTTCTTGGGCAAAATCGGGTTCTCTTCAGCATATCCCCACAGCCTTCCCCAATCCCTCAAACGCCACATTGTCGACTAGGTATTAAGCAGACCGCTCGTGACCCTGCCCTTGTGCGAAAGCCCAGGATAACTTACCTGGAAGGGATTTCGTGTTTTCGCCACTTCTCGTCAAAAAATTGACCTACTCTTGCAATGTGCGATTGGGTCGCAGTTGTTTAAGACAAGTCCACCATGTGCAATCGACAAAGCAAGTCATACAGGTTGAATTCATTTGGCACGACTTATTGACAACAACGTTCAAAAGTTGTCGCAACATAATTTCCAAAATCCCCGCCATATACTGGCCTTTGTCAAGCCGTGAAGTCAGTTGGCGAATACTGCGACAGCAAGTCGCTACCAAGCACGTTTCCTCTGCTCTCGTCTACTGACCCTGCCTATAACGCTCGTCACATTGGACCACGTCATCTCTTCCATTGGGCTGCAGTCTATACGATCGTGCTTACACACGGGTTTATTTGGGTGCAGGTCGAATTTCCTGGGAAATTCTAGCGCATGCTTGTCCCTGGGAATATCATGGGTCATGTGTTTCTTTGCGTTCTATGTGACACTTAGATATTTCCAAGAGAAGTGGTGATACACGTTTGTCTCAGGGATAAATCATTGTAAATGTTAAATTGGGTCGCGATGCGACATAATGATTTTTCCAGGGAAATGCCGACACACGTTTGTCTCAGGGATAAACACGTGGTGGGTGATGATTAACCCCATTCGACGGTACTTGGGAATTGTATGTGGATGAATTATCCGAAAATTGCACAGGCCTACCTTGTGTTATCCGGATCCCTCTTGTCGCGCAAGATTGATCACTTCCCTTTTTTCTCTCGCCGGCAGCAACTTGAAGCAGCATGGCGAACCCGCCAAAGGATCATCCCACCACGTACGACGTCATCGAGCGCGTTGCTGCGAATGCCCATATCAAGGGCCTTGAAGCGTACCAATCCGAGTACAAACGCTCCACCGAACAGACCGACGAGTACTGGGCGGAAAAGGCGCGCGAAAACCTCCTGTGGTTCCGAGACTTCGACCAAACCAAGAACGGTCACTTCGAAAACGGCGACGTATCGTGGTTCATGGGCGGACAATTGAATGTGAGCACCAACTGTATCGACCGACATATTGAAAAGCGCGGCGAAAAGACTGCCATCTTGTGGGAAAGCGATGAACCAGGTGTCCATCGCCGCATTTCGTACAACGAGTTGCTCGCTGAAACATGCAAGATCGCCAACGCTATGCTTCTCCATGGCGTGCGCAAGGGTGATACCGTTGCGATTTACATGCCCATGATTCCCGAAGTCGCCATGGTCATGCTTGCGTGCACCCGTATTGGTGCCGTGCACAGCATCGTATTTGCCGGTTTTTCATCGGACGCCCTGCGTGACCGTATCGTTGATGCCAAATCCAAGTGGGTGTTCATTGCCGATGAAGGCAAGCGCGGTGGCCGCACTCTCCAGCTCAAGAAGACGGTCGATGAAGCCATCAAGGGGTTGAACTTTGTCGAAAAAGTGTTTGTGTTCAAGCGAGCCACCACCCCGTGCGTTACTTCCGACAAGGAAGTTGACATGAACGAATTGCTCCCCAAGATGCGCCCGTACTGCCCCGCTGTGTGGATGGACTCTGAAGACCTCATGTTTATCCTGTACACGTCCGGCTCCACCGGCCAGCCCAAGGGCGTCGCTCACACCACGGGCGGGTATCTTACTTACGCCCACGTGACGGCCAAGTACACATTTGATTTGCATGAAGATGACGTGTATGCATGCGTCGCCGATTGCGGTTGGATCACCGGGCACTCGTACATTGTATACGGGCCCCTATCGAACGGCGCCACCACCGTTATGTTTGAGTCCACTCCACTGTACCCTTACCCGAGCCGATACTGGGACCTTGTCCAACGGTACAAGATTACTCAATTCTACACGGCTCCCACGGCCATCCGTGCGCTTATGAGCCACGGCGCCAATAAGGTCGACGGGTACGACTTGAGCTCGCTCCGCATTCTCGGAAGCGTCGGTGAACCAATCAACCCCGAAGCTTGGCGTTGGTACTACGAAGTGGTTGGCAAGAAGCAATGCATGATTGTCGACACGTACTGGCAAACTGAATCTGGCGGGCACTTGGGCACGGGTTTACCCGGTGCCACCCCCATGAAGGCAGGGTCATGCGGCCTTCCCTATTTTGGCGTAGAGTTTGCCTTGTTAAACGACCAAGGTGAAGAAGTTCTTGGCAACAACGTTGAAGGTCGCTTGTGCATCAAGAACCCTTGGCCCGGTCTCGCCCGCACCGTGTACGGCGACCACTCTCGCTACCTGAGTGTGTACATGAAGCCACATCCTGGCTATTACTTCACGGGCGATGGCGCCCGTCGTGACAGCGACGGGTTTTACTGGATCACTGGCCGCATTGACGATGTGTTGTGTACGTCCGGTCATCGTATCGGCACGGCCGAAGTTGAAAGCGCCTTGGTCGCGCACAACGTGGTCGCAGAAGCCGCAGTCGTCGGTGTGCCCCACCGCGTCAAGGGCGAAGGTATCTGTTGCTTCGTCACACTCATCTACAGCGTCGAAGCAAGCCCTCAAATTGAACAGGAGCTTGTCAAGCAAGTCCGCCACGTGATCGGTGCGTTTGCGTCGCCCGATGTCATTGTGTTTGTGTCGGGCCTCCCCAAGACTCGCAGTGGCAAGATCATGCGCCGCATCCTGCGCAAGGTCGCTCACGGCGAAGCCAGCTCTATCGGCGATGTCTCGACCTTGGCGGAACCCGCCGTCGTCCCCGAAATCATCGAAATGACTGCCAAGGCGTTGGAAGGCAAGGCGTTGTAGCCACGCGTCGATTGTTTATAAAGTATATTTCATTGTGGGGCGCTGTGTACGCAAATACCGACGTCGTACGTGAGTGTGTAGATGGCATGGCGACCGTGTCGTGGCTCTCGGAGTATGCGTGCGAGAGATACTTGCACAATTGCGAAGGATGCAAGTGGTAGCTAACCAAACGCTAAGGAATGGTGTATTCATGGATGGTCATGGTGGAGTCGCAGGACGCCGTGTAAAGGTGGCATTCGTCCATGTCGACGCTCGGGACTTGCTTGGTGTGGACATGGAGCCCATCCAGTCTCGTGAGACAACCGACAACCGACGACTTTTGCGACCACTTGGACGATGCTTGCCACAGACGGACGGTGGAATCGTTGGACGAAGTTACAACAAGATCGTCGCATGTCTGCATGAGTCCGTCAGATCGAGACAAAGGAACGAGGAGATGGCACGTACGGCGATGGACCGGACGGCGGCGCTATGCACGCGCACGTCCAAAAGCGGCGTGGGGTCGGATCCGGTGGCATCCCATCCTTTGAGTGTGCCATCCTTGCTCACAGTCATCACGATGTCCTACATGGACGTGAGCGTCGCGATACGACCAGACAAACGTGCACCGATGAGAACATGGCCATCGACATGATGGCTTGCTCGTGGCCTTTGAAAAGAGCTACGGGGGCCACGAGGTATCTGTCGTCCCAGATCTCGAGATGCTACGTACGACAGGCACCTTGAATTAGTAGTCGGTCGAGTTCTAAAACCTGATGATACCTTGACACCGCCGACGTAGAGAAGGTGGTTGTACTTCTGAAGGGACGATATACACGGAGTCACGCATTGGATGCGTCCGATCGCGGGGTTCGACGACGAATTGGTCCATTGAATCAAGTGTCCGGTGAGCGATCCTGTCCACACGTTGTCGTGCTCGATCACCATGCACAGCAATCGATCCGCGTTCGCCCACAGCACGCGTGTGTTGACTGCAGTGGTAACGTCCCACCGGCGAATGGTCCCGTCGAACGAGGCGCTGTACAGATCGGATGGAGATGGTCCCCACGCCAACGACCACACTGCATTCTATGTTGCAGCATGTAAAGCGATGCTGTTCGTGACGATGGAATATTGACCTACCTGGTGACCAGCCAACGTACACAAGGTCGCTGTGTCGGACATGACTGTGGTAGGTTTGCGCCAGACCTTTACTGTGCGGTCAAACGAGCATGTTGCGAAGAGGTTCGCGTAGGGACCAAGGGACTTTTGCGCAGCAATGGCATTGATCCCATCGGTGTGGGCAATTTGGGACAGCACGCATCGCGCTGTCCCTTTCTTCCATCCGAGTTGCTGGTTGCATTTGTCCACGAACACTTGCTTCCACGTCGTCCGGCCACGTAGGAGATTGAAACGAGAGATCGGGTACAGCGCGCTGTACAGAGGTTTCCAGATGCGATTTGTCACGACGAGCAATTGAAACCTCCTGCAAGTCTGCTCCATGGCCACTAATTCTTGTGGCGCGAGGTAGCCAAAGATCACGAGCGCGACGTCCGCCGACACCACAAGCTCCATTCAGCGTGACGTCAACGCTTGTGCCTCCTCATCGGTTACGATTCTGCCAAAATGAGTATTTGTTAGTAGAGGTTTTCGCCGTTTCGGTGGGTTGGGCAGCGAAGCCATCGACGGCGTTGACGAACCCCGTCAACTTGACGATTTGCTTAATCTTGTTCAAGTCACCCAATTCGTTTTGCAAAGTCGCGAGGAGCGCAAGTGCGACAACGTGCGCGGCATCGTACGCTTGTTCCGTCGTGAGATCGACGCCAACCTTGCCCGTGATCAACGCTCCGTTTGCCGGCGTTGGGATATGACCAGCCGTGTAGATCAAGTTGCCGACACGAGTGAGGAGCTTGTAGTTGCCCTTGGTGTCGACAAACCAAGGACCCAAAGCCGCTGTAGACGGCGGCGTGTGGCCGAAGATGAGTGGCACGTTCAAGCACATGGCTTTGGACCATGGGGAGTTGTGCCGTGTGTCCCCGACCAGAATCGCATTGACAAGACGAAGATCGTGTCTTGCTTGGGATATGGCATCAGCGAAGGTTGAGCGGAATAATGTGTCGATGCTCACTTCACACAGCATTAACATAACAGTGTCAGCCAGGTAGAAAATGCCATGTTTAGTTCAAGGACCTCAGGCAGAATGCACAAGAAGGTTATGATCCCCATGCATTAGCGCGGCACAACTTGTCCCTTTAGTAAACAGCTACATAAATCAAGTACATGTAGCGGAACAGCACGTAATAACCTGGTAGAGTAGCCAGGAAGATCAGAGGCTGGGCACCGCTCTGCTTGATGCCTCCCAAGTAGGCTAAGATGGGGTATGCAAAGCGGATGCCAACATAAACCCAGCCAAGCCAGACTTCTTTTGCCCCCGCAGCCACGATATTCGTCCAAAAGAGCACGAGGAAGGCGCCTTGCCACTCGACAAAGTTCCCCACTGAGCGATCACCAGCCAGCATGAGGTCACTCGTGTACCGGTTGAATCGTTCCTTGGACGCACCACTGGCTTTGTCCTTTTTGTGCTGCTTCATCGCACTGAGCTTGGAGAACACTTGCATGACGATGGCGAAGAGGAAGGACGCCACGTAGCCCAGCATCACACGGGCACCTTCCAGGTGAATCACGTCCGTCATCGTCGTAGTGCTTCTTTCGACCTGAACCTGGGCGTCGCCAGGTTGATCATCCGGATACGGACATTCGGCGCTATAATCGCATTATCCGGCCCTTGGCATCCGGATACTCGCGGCTTCACCTGATTGGCCAGGGCCTGTACCATTCAATTCTTTTCATTCCAAATCGCGATGAGCTCCCAGCGCGGCAACCTGAAGAAGGGCGCGCCGAAATACCAGAACTCATTCGCGTTCAAGCACAACCCCAAGTCGAAGAAGACTGAGCACATCTTGGGCTTGCCCATACACGGTCTCTGCCCGCATTGCCACGCGCAGATTGTGTGGCGAAAGAAGTATCGCAAATACAAGCCCTTAACCCAGCCCGCGTCCTGGTATGCATGTCGAACGATCCATGTGAAGCCGATGAGCTCATGCACACTTGTTTAGCACGTCGTGCCACCAAAAGACCATCATCTCAGCTTATCACGTCCTGTGTGATCCTTGCGCCAAGGTAAGAAGTTACCTGCATGTACCAGCCGTCTGACCACCTTGACCACCTTGCGACACAGGAAAAAGGCGTGTGCGCGAAGTGCTGCAAATCGGAGGAATTGGTTCTCAGGTAAGCGTGCCATTCAACTGCATGTTGAAATCAGCAATGACGGATGCTGCGTCGTTCGTAGTGAACAACAACTCGCCGAGCAAAAGGACGAAGAGCAAAAGGATTTCTCCGAGCAGTTGGAAGGTCTGAAGGAACGCGAACGCCGAAAGGTGTTACGTCAAAAGAAGAAGGAAGAGGAAGAAGCCTATGCTCGTGCACGCGCTGAGAGACGAGCTCGACTCGGACTCGACCAGGACAACGACTTTGATGACGAAGACCTCTACGACATGGACTTGTCGGACTAAACTCATTTATTGGGTTAATTCATTATCGATTCCACAAAGCACACTTCAAATAGCGTCATCATGCGGCGGCGGTCGTGCGTGCGGCGGCATGGAGACTTCAATTGTGGGTGGGTATGGAAGGGTTCAGTTACTGAAACCTGTAGTATCGTCACGCTTAGCCAAATTCAACAGAAAGACGTTAAACTCTGAAAATTCGTTCGCTTGGTGCCGCACTTCTTAAAATTTTGTCGCAATCCGTGTGCTTCCGTAGCTTCATTACTTGTATATTTTGATATGAATACCTACACTCTGCCTGATTTAACGTGTTACCGCGGCTGAATTCGAAACTTGAGTATTTTATCTGCGGGTTCTTGCATACAAAAAACAAGTATAAAAAGGATAAAACCTGGTCCTGTCCGCATAGCAATACAACCAGGCGCCAAGTAAATTTCGGTGCTTGGAAGCATTGGGAAGGTTGACGGCGGCTTCGCGTAGTATATCGCAGCCGTTCCTCGCAGCCATGGAGTCCATGCATGCCAACGAGTCGCCGCGGGTGGTACCATCACTTCGCGACACAACGTCGTCCATGGCGTATGACCTCGACTTGGAACTCGAAGGAACGAACTTTGCCGACCCGCGAATCCGAGCAAAGACAGACGAGTCGTCTGTGTCCCACACGTCGCTCCTGACAGGCAACATCAACAACAATTATAACAATGCGCCGTCCCCGTCGTCTCGTCGCTTTGTGCTCTGCATCGACGAAGTCCGAATCATGAGAAAGCGGCAGCTCATTCCATCGTGTCTGTTTTGTGGTCGGGTCAAGGTCGGGAAGCTGCCCGAGTGGACGATTCAATTCAGTCAAAAGGAGCTTCTGCGATTACACATTTGCGTGATGTGGTATCTCGTGTCTCGCCTCCACGTGCCCGTGTGGATGCCGTGGACTCTCGTGTGGGAGAAGCGCGCGTCGAAGCGATGTCATGACAAGGACGTCGTCGAGCGGTACTTGCGGACGCTCGTGTCTATTCCCGAGCTGCACGAATGCGAAGCGCTGCTGAGTTTCCTCGAAGTCAGCGCATCGCGTTTGGAGTCCAACCTGCGTACATTATCGCACAAAGAGGGATACGTCCACATGAAGATCAGCGGGTCGAACCAGATCCCGCTCCAAAAGTTTTGTAGCCACCGCATGGAAAAGGTATATCGGCATTCGTATCGCATCTTCCTACGCATTGCATTCATTGCGAGCATGCTCTTGATCATGTGGCCGTTCTTGATCCTGGCCGTCATGGCCGTGGCACACCCGAGCTTTGTCAACGAAGTTGTCCAGTCGGGTCGCATCATCGCCGGCAAGAACTCGCCCGACCTATTCGTCGCAATTGTGTTCGCCTTAGGCGTGTTCTTCGTGCTCGCGTTCATCTACAAATTCTTTGAGCGTCGACTCGGGACGGTCCGGCGGTGGGCTGCGCTGAAGTCCAACTGCATCGCGTTTTACAAGCACCGAAGTGATATCGAGCCGAGCGAAGTCGTCCTGTTTGACACGCAGTTCCAAGTGGCTCAAGGTGGGTACAGACAGGGCGTTTCGTGGATGGCGAGCGGCCTGACCGTGCGCAACAAGGGCGGGTACGTCGAAATCGATTGCGGGCACTACTACACGCGGCTCTTGTCCGTCATGTCGCTGTCGCTGTCGTTTTTCATCGTGATCACGATCACCGCGAGTGGTCTCAACTACAAGCCGGTGCCACTGGACCAGTTTCAAGTCGCGGAACGTCCCGTCGACGACAACTTTCGGGTGCCTCCCTCCATCGAGAGTGATTTGAACCACCCGATCTTTTGCGGGTATGCTTTCGAGGTTCTGGAGCAGCCGGCGCTGTTTCGGCGCAGGAGGGAAGGCCTGACGATCATGACACTTCGGCGGCGAACAAATCCCGACGACGGGACGTTCCACAAAGTGTCTGACTACATGGATAACAACGGTACGCCAAGTTGCCGTCGTTCCTGGCATCTCATGTTGGTCGTGTGATGGTGATTTGTCCAGAGTTCGACATCTTGACGACGCGTGTATTCAACAACTACTTTGCCAAGAAGGACACGTTGTTTATTGCTGTCGTGGGCGAAATGCGACCCGACACCACTCTGCGCGCCTCCGCGTCGCTCGTGCTGCCCCAGTTTGACACGCCGACGACCTTTGTTGGAATCACCGGACGCTTCGATCGTGTGGCTGGCGAGTACATTGTCACGGACAACTCGACGATTCACAACAGTTCGGTCCTGTGCGACTTTGCCGTGGATGTGTCACCCGTACGTACTCGCTCCAGCAACCTGTCGCTGAGGGTGTTGCCGACTAGGTGACGTTGACCAACTATACGATCATGATCGGAGCACTCTTGGTTGGAAGTCTCGTCGCATCGTCGTTGGGGCTGCTCACCAACTACTTGCTGTCGTTCATCGGGATCTGGCACGCCCACGTCCGGCGAGACGAGTGGCTCCATGCTCTCGTCGATCTGCCGCCCCAACCCGTCCGCCATCGCTTCCTGTCGTTTTCACCCAAGCGGGACCAAGGTTTGTATCCACACTGACAATTCACACCAACGGATCGTGATGTAGCGTGGCTCAAGTGGCACGTGGACGGAGAAGACACGTACAAAGCGATGCGGGAGGCCATCCTCGGCGCCAAACACCGCATCTTCATTGCTGGGTGGTGGATTTGCCCCGACTTGCTTCTCGAACGCCAAGACCCGGCCAGCCGCATGTCGCTCAAGGACCTCTTGCTCTGTAAAGCGAAGGAAGGCGTGGTCATCCATGTCTTGCTGTACCAAGAAGTCCAAGTCGCGATGGACCTGGGGTCGTACTACGCGATGAAGCAATTGCGATGCCACCCCAACATCCGCGTCCTGCGGGACCCCGACTTTCAAGTCCAGTCGTTTGGGTTTTGGAGCCACCACGAAAAGGTGATCGTAGTCGACTTTGACGTGGCGTTTGTCGGTGGCCTTGACCTTGCTTTTGGCCGGTACGACACGCCCGAACACCACTTGTCCGACCCCGGCCTCGACGGCATGACCCACTGGTGGCCCGGCAAGGACTATTCGAACCCGATCATCAAGGACTTTGTCCGCGTCAACGACGCACGAGAGAACCTCATTGACCGGGAGCATATCCCGCGCATGCCGTGGCATGACGTCCACTGCTCCATCATCGGTGGCCCCGTGCAAGACGTCGCTGCTCACTTCATCGAGCGGTGGAACTTTGTCTGTTCGAAGCGCGACAACTCGTTGCGGACGGACTGGTGCGTGTGCTTTCGGTCGCGCCGGTTCAAATACCTCCCCAAGAGCATCCTCCCGTGGATGCCGGACGCCACCACGGTCGTTCCTCCGTCGTACGAGCCGTGCTCCCTCCAGGTCGTACGATCCGTGTCATCGTGGTCTGCCGGAGTTCCCACCGAGTCGAGCATCCACACGGCGTACTGCGACTGCATTCGCGCCGCTCAGCACTACGTGTACATTGAGAACCAGTTTTTCATCTCTGGGCTCGAGCACGACGCCGTCGTTTTGAACCGTGTCGTTCAAGCGTTGGTGGATCGCATTGCCGAGGCGGTGCGGCAGAACCACGTGTTTCGCGTGGTCGTTGTCATGCCTCTCCTCCCGGGCATCGAAGGCAACGTTCAGTCCAAGCAGTCGCTGACGCATCTACATGCAGTCATGCACTGGCAGTACGCAACGATCCGCACCAACCTCATGGGGGCACTCGCGAAATTCACGTCCACTCCCCACGACTACGTCCTCTTTGTGGGCCTTCGAACCTACGGAGTCATGCCGAACGGGCGCTGTGTCACAGAGCAGATCTACATCCACTCGAAGGTCCTCATTGTTGATGACACGACCGTCATCTGTGGCTCGGCCAACATCAACGACCGGAGCATGAACGGCGACCGCGACTCGGAAATCGCCGTTGTCATGGAGGACTCGACGGTACCGTTCTCCTTTCACGGATATGACAGAAGGGCATGCTGACGATGGGGGTTTGTGGTAGTTCACCCTGGGCACGATGAACGGACGCCCGACCAACCAAGGGACGCTGGCGACCCGTCTGCGTTTGCAGCTCTTTCAAGAGCACTTGGGACTGGACGATCCGTCGGTCGTGCTCGATCCGATCTCTGACGCGACGTGGCAATTTTTACACCATCGCGCCCAAGCCAACACAGACCTGTTTGAGCAAGTCTTTCGGTGTGCTCCGTCCAACACGTACCGGTCGTTCGATTCGTTTGACGCGCAATGGCACCAACTGGACGCAATCTACGAAAACCAGCGCCTGAATCCGCTCAGGGGCCTTGCAGCGTGGAGCGCCGACAACTTGCTAGCGGAAGGAGACTATGCGCCGTGGACAGACGTGAATGGGATTCCAATCCCAATGGAAAAAGTGCATCGCGACGACTATGTGGTGGTACCGGACCCGCTTTTCCCGCTTCTCTCGTCCGACGACCAGGGATGGTACTACGCGCGCAACTTTAAGATCTTTCAGGACATGCGCGTGCACCGGTCGACGACCCCTCGAGTCCGCAAACGAGACAGGTTTCAGCACTTTATGGCGGATCGCCTCTTGGCACAAGTTCGTCGCCGCAAGTACGTAAAACTAAGCACCCTCCCAGTCCTGAACGGATCGTTCATCGACATGGTCCCCGTGCTGCGCGACCACGACGACAAAGACTCGTTCTACGCCAAGTGGCGCCAGTGGGGCAGCAAGAAGCTCAAGCCCCCCGCACTGGTCTTGCCGCCCGCCCTGACCGAATACCACGAAATGTACGATGCACGCCACTCCGCCTTTCCTCGGTCTATCCTGCTGCCGCAGCAGCAGCCGTCCAGCGATGACCGTAGTAGCCGGAGACGGCCTCACCTGGCGTCCCGGTATAGCGACAGCGAACTCGATTACCCTCGTTCGACCCGACAAGTTCTCCGACTGAGCGAATCCGACGTGACCCCGTCAAATGCGACTCCCATCGTCGATCCGTTGCATAAAGAACCTCCGCGGTCGTGGCTCGCGTCGATCCAGTCGTTGGAGATGAATTTGCCGCCGTTGTTCCGTCACAAACGGTATCACGACGACGGCGAGAGTAGCAACTGCAGCAGTTACGACTTTGGCGACGAAGTCCTGTCCCCGTCGCCATCCATTGCCGCCAGCATCCCGAACGAAGCCCAGCTCGGTAACGTCCACACGAACGCAGAGACGCAGGAAGTGACGGCACATGCCACGCTACAGGCGATTCAAGGCCACATTGTGATTTTCCCCCTCGATTTTCTCGTCGAGGAAACCCTCAAACCGTCGATTCTGCCTAGTTCGTTGCACATCTAAGTTAAAATTGTTTTCACTTTATACTATTGCTTGCACGAGTTTTGCGTTGTTGAAAAAAGTTTGCCAGCAACGACAAGGCGTGAAAAACGCCACTTGTCGTCGAACGCACAGACGACTTGTGAACACCGTCATCTCGAATCGACATCGGCAGATTCGAGAATTCGGAGGACTGAAGCGCACATGGACCTCCACACAATTTCCACATTTTCAGTCGGTTGCCGTTGCTGCCGTTGACGAAGGAGGTCGAGCAACGACGGTTCATTCACCAAGACCGAAGTGAGAAACGCGAGGATGTCGTCCAGATCATCGTACATGGCTTCCGTCGGGACGGCGCATTGCATGTATGATTCCACCAGAGCCGCCGCCCAGCAGAGGTGTTCCTGAGTCGTTGGAGGCGACGATGTATCCGCGGGTGGTGCCATGCGTTTCAGTAATTCCTTGTTGCTCACGTAGTTGGCGGCGACAATGTCAGAAGACAAGCCGTGTTGAGCGCGAAAGGCGGCGAGACGGCGCTGGATCATGCGCAAAGATGGAAGGACCATATGACCGCTCCAAGTCGATGGGCTCCGCTTGTCGCCAATCGACGACGCCTTGGCCTCCCCGCTCAGCAACTCGTACGCGCGCCGGCCATACGTCATGTACATGCTCTCGCACCAATGGACAATCTTTGGTGGAAACTTTGTACATGCACGACCTGGAAAGGTTGATGATGACGACGCGAAGAACTGGAGCTGGGTCAGGACAAGATCGTAGATGAACATTCCACGCCTGAGGTTGCCTCTTAGTGCCTTTGCGCACATCGCAAGCATGTCGTCTGGGGGATTCGTGGACAAGTACAAGCGATAGTCGCGAAGGAGTCTGCGCTCTCGGAGACTCTGTGGTAGTTTGGCAGTCGTTCGTGCGAGCTCTCTCTTGGCCGCCGCGACTTGCTGTTTCAGTCTACCAAAGTCCAACGTAGCGGTGTATCCGTGTGCATTCTTGAGCTCCTCACGCAGACGTGCATTTTCCTGACGCTGTATTCTTAACTGAGACATCAACATCGCATTTTCGATGCGAAGGCGGATCAGTTCGTCGCTCGCCATGGCCGCCGGCGCCAGCGGCGGCGGTGGTGGCTTGAACATGTACCGTGAATTGTATATAGTTTTAGACATCCTTTTAGTTTTAGACACCCCAAAAGGTTATTGAATATAGAATATAAAGGTGTTCCTCTTTTCCTCCCCCACATAATGCCTCTTATAATACATATTTCCACCCACCATCTAATGAAATATTAATTTATAGAGGGCGCAGGTTTTCGCTGGATTTTTTGCCGCCAAAAGCATGGTCGGTGCCTTTTGACTCGTCAATCGACAACCATGGCTGACGTCCACGATGAGGTGCCAACACGTCGTAAAGGACGTCCACCCTTCAAATACGGCAAGAAAGCTCATGTGCGGCTCTTTAAGAACAA